CATCCTGGCAGCAAATCTGGGTGCCAGCAGTCTGTTAGGAAAGCGCTTGTCGGTTTTTAAAAACACAATTGTAAAAGTGAAGGGAAAACTCCCACCTATCTCTTGGAATAGAATCATAGAATCATAGAATCGATTGGGTTGGAAAAGACCTCTGAGATCATCGAGTCCAACCCTTGGTCCAAATCCAGTCCATTTACTAGATCATGGCACTCAGTGCCACGTCCAATCTGCATTTAAAAATCTCCAGGGATGGTGAATCCACCACCTCTCTGGGCAGCCCATTCCAATGCCTGATTACTCTCTCTGTAAAGAATTTTCTCCTGATATCCAACTTAAATTTCCCCTGGCGGAGCTTAAGCCCGTGCCCCCTTGTCCTGTTGCTGAGTGCCCGAGAGAAGAGACCAACCCCCACCTGGCTAGAACTTCCCTTCAGGTAGTTATAGACGGTGATGAGGTCACCTCTGAGCCTCCTCTTCTCCAGGCTAAACAACCCCAGCTCCCTCAGCCTCTCCCCATAGGACTTATGCTCCAGTCCCTTAACCAGCCTTGTTGCTCTTCTCTGGACCCGCTCCAGCACCTCAATATCCTTTCTGAACTGAGGGGCCCAGAACTGAACACAATACTCAAGGTGTGGCCTCACCAACACAGAGTACAGGGGAAGGATCACTTCCCTGCTCCTGCTGGCCATTCTATTTTTGATACAGGACAAGATCCCATTGGCCTTCTTGGCCACCTGGGCACACTGTTGGCTCATGTTGAGCTTCCTGTCAATTAGTACCCCCAGGTCCCTTTCCGCCTGGCTGCTTTCCAGCCACTCTGTGCCCAGCCTGTAGCGCTGCAGGGGGTTGTTGTGGCCAAAGTGCAGGACCCTGCACTTGGCTTTATTGAACTTCATCCCATTGGAATCAGCCCATCTCTCAAGTCTATCCAGATCCCTCTGCAGAGCCCTCCTGCCTTCCAGCAGGTCGACACTCCCAATTTGGTGTCATCAGCAAATTTGCTGATGATGGACTCAATCCCCTCATCTAAATCATCAATAAAGATGTTAAACAGGACTGGACCCAACACAGATCCCTGGGAACACCACTGGTGACCAGCTGCCAGCTGGATGCAGCTCCATTCACCAACACTCTCTGGGCCCGACCCTCCAGCCAGCTCCTAATCCAGGAGAGGGTACACTTGTCCAAGCCATGGGCTACCAGCTTTTCCAGGAGTATATTATGGGAGACAGTGTCAAAGGCCTTGCTAAAGTCTAGATAGACCACATCCACAACCTTCCCCTCATCCACCAGGTGGGTCACCTGATCGTAAAAAGAGATCAGGTTGGTCAGACAGGACCTGCCCCTCCTAAACCCGTGCTGGCTGGGTCTGATCCCTTGTCCATCCTGAAGGTGCTGTGTGATTGCACTCAGGATGATCTGCTCCATAACCCTGCCAGGCACCGAGGTCAGGCTGACAGGCCTGTAGTTGCCAGGGTCCTGCTTGCAGCCGTTTTTGTGGATTGGGGTGACATTCGCCAACCTCCAATCATCTGGGACCTTCCCAGAGAGCCAGGACTGTTGGAAGATGATGGAGAGCGGTTTGGCAAGCTCTTCTGCCAGCTCCCTCATCACCCTGGGATGGATCCCGTCTGGTCCCATAGACTTGTTAGGATCCAGCTGGCTCAGTAAGTCGCTAACTACATCCTCCTGGAATACAGGAGGGCTATTCAGCTCTCTGTCTCTGTCTATCTGCTCTAGAGGCCAGTTGTCCTGAGGGCCACATGTCTTACTGCTAAAAACTGAGGTAAAGTAGGTGTTAAGTACCTCAGCCTTCTCCTCATCTTTGTTAACTATATTTCCCTCCAAGTCCAACAGAGAATTGAGGTTTTCCTTGCCCCTTCTTTTGCTATTAATGTATTTATAAAAGGACTTTTTGTTATCCCTAACTGAATTAGCCAAATTAACTTCAAATTCCACTTTTCTTTCCCCAATTTTTTTCCTGCATGACCTAGCTCTCTTCGTAAATTCTTCATAAGTAGCCAGCCCTTTTTTCCACAGTCTGTAAACTTTCTTTTTATGCCTAATTTCTTTCAGAACCTCCCTATTTAACCAAGCTGGCCGTCTTCCCCTCCGGCTGGCCTTTCGGCACACTGGAATAGCCTGTTCCTGTGCACTCAGAATTGCCTGTTTGAAGCATGTCCATCCCTCCTGGACCCCCTTGCCTTTAAGGGTTGTTTCCCAGGGTATGCCCTGAATTAGTTTTTTGAATAGGCCAAAATCTGCCCTCCGGAAGTCCAGAGTAGAGGTTTTAATGATGGCTCTCCTTACATCCCTGAGGATTGAAAATTCTATTATTTCGTGGTCACTATTTCCCAGGCGGCCTCCAACCACTACATCATCCACCAGCCCCTCTCTGTTTGTAAACAGCAGGTCTAGTGGGTCCTTACCCCTGGTAGGCTCATTTACCAGTTGATGAAGGAAATTATCCTCTATACACTCCAGGAACCTCCTTGACTGCCTCTTCTCTGCAGTATGAAGCTCCCAGCAGATATCCGGCAGGTTAAAGTCACCCATGAGCACAAGGGCTGGAGATTTTGAGACATCTGCCAGCTGCTTGTAGAATAATTCATCTCCTTCATCATCCTGGTTGGGCGGTCTGTAACAGACACCCACAAGGATGTCAGCCTTGTTGGCCTTCCCCCGATTCTGGTCCACAGGCACTCAACCTTGTCACTGCTGACCTCAACTTCAACAGAGTCAAGAGACTCTCTAACATATAAAGCCACCCCTCCACCTCTCCTTCCCTACCTGTCCTTTCTGAAGAGCTTGTAGCCCCCCCATAGCAGCACTCCAGTCGTGTGAGTCATCCCACCACGTTTCTGTGACAGCAACTATGTCATAGTTTTCCTGCTGCACGATGGCTTCCAGCTCCTCTTGTTTGTTTCCCATACTGCGTGCATTGGTGTACATGCACTTCAGCTGGGCCATTGATTTTATTCTCAACTCGGGCTCTACACCCTTAGGCTTATTTCTGGAGAGCCCAGTTGCCGCCCCTTCCCCCTTCAAACCTAGTTTAAAGCCCTCCTAACTAACCCTGCCAACTTACGGGCTACAGTTCTTTTGCCCTTCCCAGATAGATGAAGCCCATCTGGTTTGACGAGACTAGGCAACATGGAGTTTGCCCCATGATCAAAAACCCCAAAATTTTGATGATAGCATCATCCTCTAAGCCACCTATTGGTAAGCTGTGCTTTCCTAAACCTCTCCTCATTTATCTCCTCATTCATCCCAGCTAGCACAGGAACTGAGCCAATTACTACCTGCGCTCCTGTCCCATGAAGTGATCGGGTCAGAGCCTTAAAATCTTTTTTAATTACCCTGGTACTCCTATTATTGATGTCATCACTTCCAACCTGGACAACCAACAGCGGGTAATAGTCTGAGGGTTGAATAAGCTTAGGAAGTGTTTTCGTAATATCCCTCACCCTGGCCCCAGGAAGGCAGCAAACTTCCCTGTGGGATGGGTCTGGCCGACATATAGGGCCCTCAGTTCCCCTCAAAATGGAGTCACCAATTACAATAACCCTTCTCTTTTTCCTCTTACCTGTAGTTGTAACAGATCCAGTAGACTGGGGGTAACCAGAAGACCTTGTAGACAGATCTTCCTCCTGACTGTCCCCCATCAGACTTTCTGAAACCAGGGCCATATATCTGTTTTTTAAGGGCACCCTGGCAGGTGAAAGGGGTCGAGAGGGGGTGTTTTTGTCTCTACGACCAGGCACCTGTTTCCATTCCTCCCCATCCATATTGTCCGTTCTGTCTGCCTGATGGCGGGGGGGCTGGGCTTCACCGCCTCCTGCTGGGCTTCCTTAGGAATCGAAAGGGTGTGACTCCACCAGTCAATTACCCTTTCACTCTCCCTTATACTCCTTAGCCTTTCCACCTCTTCCTTTAGCTCTGCCACCAGACATAGCAAATCATCCACCTGCTCACACCGTATGCAGGTGTTTCTCACACTGTCCTCTGGTAGCAGTTCCAGGCTCAAACAGTCTATGCAGCCAGAGACCTGAGTGGCTGCATCCTTTTCAGAGGGTTCTGTCTGTATTGACACCCCTCTACTGGTAATAGGAGCAACAGCTTTCATTTTTTTGGGAGGCATGACTGCCTTGAGCTTAATCGGTTCCGAGGAGGAGCCGAGCCTGGGCAGCAGGAACAAGATGGAACAAGAACTAATAGTGTTTGCAGCAGAAGGTCCCAGAGAAAATTCCTGTGCTTTGATTGAAAGAAAGCAGCCAAGCAAGGTGGGGAATCAATGAAGAAAGGAGCTGAAGCAGCTGAGCAGGTGATGCTGGGTTGATGTAGAACCTGGGGTATTGTCTTAAAGAAGGTCATAAGGCAGTCACTCAGAACTTTGGGGGCTCCAGATGCAGATGACCACCAGAGATCCCCAATGAAGCCCCTCAGAGACCTTAAAAAGACATGTATGCATGCTAAGGAGTGTTGAGAAATGTCACGAATATGGAACAGGAATGTGGGGAACAAAAAAGGAAGAATCATGTCATACTGACATATCAGCTTGTGCAAGTTTGGAGCTGGCTTCCCACCAAATCTCCAACACTCAACAACAGAGCCTTGCTTCCCAGAGAGGGGAGAAAAAAACCCAAACAGCCAAAGCTATAGCAAAGATATATTTTACATATAAAACAGATATATACCGTGAGAAATACTATATACCTATAACCCCAGAAACCCCAAAGAGCTTCCTAAAGGGAAGAGGGGAAGGGAGAAGGGAAAAAAGGACAAAAAAAGGATGAAAAGGGACAGAATCAAAACAGGTCTACACAATCTAAAAACCCGGTAACCAGCAAACTGAAGAACTGGCAAAATCTCCCCACTTCCCTTGAGAGAAGCAGGACAGCTGGACGCGGCCCAGCACTGTCCCCTCACGCGGGGCAGACAACAGCAGTCACTGTGGGCCTCAGCTCCACATGAGCAAGACCAAGACAGGCACCCACCGTTCTCGAACCTCGCCACAAAGGAAGAGAGCGAACCCTCTTATCTCTGCCTTATTGATACCCCAGGTGACATGAAGGAAGAGCATGGAATACTTCCTGGGTCACCTTCCTAGTTCCTTCCTGGTTACAAGCTGGTCTCCAGGAAGGCCCGGTGTGAAAACTATCACAGAGCTGTGGTGAGGATCCCTCTGGGTGCACTTTGGGAACTGATTCCCAGGGCACCCGGCGTGCTGGAGTCACTTCAGTGCACCCTAATAAAAGAATGCCTGGCTTCTCAAACTCACAACTTTGGTCTTGGAGGTTTCTTTCAAGAGCTGAGTTTAGGCCACAAACCCACCACCTGCACTGAAGTCTCCCTCCTTACCAGTTCTCTTGGGGTGAAGCCTTCCCTTGGGAAGGTCCAGGCCTGCTGGATCTCCATGGAATGGAGGATCTGCTGTGAAAGCATGTGTGGTGTTTTAGGAATGGTGCTCCCCAATCAAGTGCTCCCACCCAGACCCTCCCAAAGCAGATGCTGCTCACTCCCCCTGCCCCCACCTCTGGTTGAGAGCACAAAAGGCAAAGATCATGGGTGGAGAGAAGAACAATTCCCTGGAAACAGCAATGAGATCATAAAACCAACAGGAACAGCAACCATAGGAATGAGAGAAGTGTACAAAAGGAGTGTGATTTAGATGCCAAATGCTCCCTGAGCCTGAGACAAGGAAACAATGGTTCCACCCTCCATGTGTAAGGAACACCCTCAGAAGCAGGAGAGAAAGTCCCTTTTTCCCACACCTGGAAATGATGTGGGGTGATCTCATAACACAAGGTCTTGGCCATGGCCTCTCCCACTGATCTGCACTGGGAGCAGAACAGCATGTCTGGCCTCAGAGAAAGATCTTGGAGTGATGCAGCATGGAAGAGAGGTGCAGAGAGGTAACGAGATCTCCACCCTTGGAGACCCTTCTCTTACTGCCTCCTCTTCATCAGGGCCACATTGTCAGATGTGTCCCAGAACCCAGACAGACCAAAGGGTAAACTTTTTTCCCTCCAAATGATGCCCGTGGAAACATGAAAATGGGAATCCCCTCATCAACACTGAAAAATGCCACCCGTCTCCCTTCATAATCCAGAGAGACCCGGATCCGCCTGGGAGGCTTCATTTCAGGAAATTCAGTGGGACTAGGGGAGGTGAAAGCTTTCAGTTCTGGTCGTTTCCCTACTGCCCAGATGCCTTCCTCTGGTTTAAACTTAATATCACCCTTTCTTTCTGCACCATCTCTAAAAATCCCCACAATCCATCTTCCTTCATTCTCCACCTCCACCTCCCAGTAGTGTCTCCCCGAGGTGAAGCCCTCACAGCCCAGAACGCAGCGCCACACGTTAAATCTCTCAGGGGTGTCGGGGATGTCCTGTCGTGTGTCAACTCGTGTCACACTTTTGCCATTGTCAGACAGGACAAGCTCACAGTGGGCTGTGTCTGGATCCAGAACCACGTTCCCTGCAGGAGAGATGGAATCAACACATCAGGGCAGAGCTCGGCCCAGGACACATCTTTGCTGGGGCTGCCTAAGGAAGAAGCAGGGGGGGAGGGAGAGCTGGCAGAGTGTGGCATGGCAAGGTGCACAAGGTGACAACAGCAGTGCAAGGAAGAGACACTGAAGCAGAGAGAAGAGAGGGAGCAGAGAGGGAAGAGGATCATCAGCAGAGCTCCAGGAGGAAGAATTGTGCACAGCTCACCGAGGACAAGGATCCTCCAGATTTGCCTGAAAGTGGGACATGCACCAAAGGAAAGGGAGGCTCAGCAGAAGCATGCCTGGTCCCAGCAGCATCACTTGCAGGAGGGGAACTGCCAGGAAGGGCCATTAAAGCAGGCAAGATGATTCAGCACCAGGAAACACCAGACTTAGTTACCTGCTTCTATAGGCACTGCATGTCTTCTCCAGGCTTTAAAATAACACAAAAACCACAGGTCAGAGGCAATCGAAAACACTGGGGCTGGGTTAGCTCAGGGGAATGATATGCCAGTGGAGGTGCACATTTTCTGAATTGTTGTTGTCTTTGTGAAAGTCATCTCACAGTGAGTTGCTTCAAAACTTCAGTGTCTGACTACATGGAAGGGCTCCACCCATTTCCTACAAATCCAATCACGCTGCCTGTCCTGACTGGGACATGCATTTATGGTCAGTTTGGACTTTGAGAACTGAAAGAATTTTCTTCTCAGTACAGAATAATTACAGGGAAGAGCCTAAAACCACACAGAGGCCAATAAAAAAGAATGTTTCTGAAAGAAGTTCTGTATTTGTTCTGTGCCCAAAACAAGGGCACACATGAAAAACAGAGGGGAGAAAAAATGCCCAACTGAGAAGACTCCCACAAACAGAAGAGAATGATACTCACCGAGTTCCTGGGCTTGTTTCTCTGAAAAGGAAGAGAAAGCAGCACAAATGGGTTGTGGGCCATTGATTTGGCCATCCCCTGTCTGCCCTCTCCTGGGACCGCCTGCACGGGCTGGAGGGCGGGTTTGTGCCAAGGCTGAGCAGTGCAAAGCCCTGTCCCACCCCCAGCCTGCAGCTCTGCTCCCCCGCCCATGGGGCAGCTTGTCCTGCTCAACCTGGGGGCAGGAAAGGATCTCTGGCAGGTCCCTCATCTCCAAGGGCACCAGGGCACTCCCACCCTGCCACTGCTACTGCTGCTCCCACCCGATCCCATCCCCAGACACCATCTTCAGTCACCTTGAATTTTGGATTCCCAAATTCACTCTCTTCTTCCACCCATCACCAAGTGAACCACGAAGTGAACCACTTTTTGGTTCACTTCACACATTAAAAGTGAGAGAAAAAAGCCCAGATGAACCCACTACCCCCTACAGGCTGCAAAAAATCCTTTTCCAGGACAGACTTGCTGGGGTAGGGAGGAAGCTGAAATTGCTCATGAGGGAAAAGCTGCAGCCCAGGAGCTCCTCAGGACCTACCTTCTCAAGACTTTGGGGGTCTCACCCACCCTCCCTGAGCCCGCTGTGGGCAGAGATCAGACCGTGCTGCTGGAGACCTGAGCACGGGCTCCAGCTCCAGGGCAGCGCTGAAGGGGCAGCTTTGCAGCACCAAGGGAGGAGCGTGGGGTGAAATGTCCCCTGCAGTGCTCCCTAAGGGCCCTGTGCCTGTGCTCTGCACTGCTCAGAACAGCTGAGGCCCCTGCACAATGAAATGTGCTACCCCAAAGCTTCCTCCAGACTTGGGAAGAACGTTGAGAGCACTTTGAAAAGCCAAGTTCACTGTTGCTACAACATCTATTCACACTTGCTTTGGTTTTGCAATGATTTTCCTGAAAATTACAACAGCATTTAATACATTAATTTCACCTGGTATGTAGCCCCTGGCCAAAGCCACATTTCCCTTCCTCATGTCCTCCAGAAATGTGACCCATGCATTCTTCCATTGGAAGAGTTCTCCCGTTTCTGGACAATGGAAAGTAAAGCTTACCTATTTCTTTCTGCTGCTTTCCTGTGAAGAAAAGAAAGAAATGCAAATAATTTAGAAACTCATCCCCTCCAGCAAGCACTGATGGACCCCCAGGAGGAAACTGGGGACAATGGAAAGAAAAGCTTACCTATTTCTTTCTGCTGCTTTCCTGTGAAGAAAAGTAAGAAATGAAAACAATTTAAAAATTCATCCCCTCCAGCGACCACTGATGGACCCCCAGCAGGAAACTGGGGACAATGGAAAATAAAGCTTACCTATTTCTTTCTGCTGCTTTCCTGTGAAGAAAAGAAAGAAATGCAAATAATTGAGAAACTCATCCCCTCCAAAGAGCACTGATGGACCCCCAGCAGGAGTTACAGCCCCCCCAGGGCAGAAGGGCCACGGGGCCTGGACGAGCTGCAGCGCCCGCACGACCCAGCGGCCCCATCTCCTGCCAGGGAGAAAGAGAGGATTTCAGTTCCCTTTATTCCTCTGCATCATCTCCCATCAGAGGGATATTCCGAAGGAAAGGAGGCCCTGCCAGGCCCCCCAAACTGCCAGGGATTCTTTGCAGGTCAAGGCAAATTCTTGCTCCATTTCTGTGCTGGGGCAGAGGAGCAGCTGATGCTGCTTTAATGCCAACTTCCTTCCTTGCCTTCTTCTGGGAGAGGAAAGCTTTCTTTTCTTGACAGAAGTTAAGACCATTGGGTTTTTAAGTTCCCTGGCACCAAACACGTGCCTGAGACACCAAGACAAGACTCTGGTTCCATCCTGGTGTTTCTCAATCCCCTCATCCCTCAGGACCAGAGGTGGCTGAGTAGGATGGCTGCCCAGCCCCTTCCCCAGCCCCCAAACCCAGGATGGTACCTTTAATTTTAAGTAGATAAACAGTGATAATAAGGAGAGCAACCACAGCAACCAGGGCCACACCCAGGGCAATCCTCCAAGGATGGGCATCTTGGAAAAAGGGATCTGAAAAATAAAATCCCCAAAGGGGAGGTTACTGTGCAAGTAGCAATTGAAAGGAGATTATTTCTGTTTCATACAAGGTCATTCCATCTGTATCCCATTGAGGGTGAAAACCAGACTGTGTTCCACAGAAGGGCAAAAAATGACAAAAAATCCATTTTGGCAATTTCGCACCTGTCTGAGGTTGATGACATTTTGTCTGCATTGTGGAGGATTTTTAAAGGGAAGATGGATTTCTAACCAAGTGATTTCTCATTAAAACATGCTTTTTTTTTTTTCCTTTGGGAAAAAACAAATATATATTTCCTTAGGCAACATAGGATCAGAAATAGGGTGACATGTGCATCAAGAGCAACACTCCAGTGCAGAACAGCATCACCAGGAGAAAGGTAATGGTTCCCCAAGGAAATAAAATCTCCAGGATTTGTTAATTTCTGAACTAGAAGAGGAGCAGGGTGGAGTTGGAAAGGACGTGCTGCTGCAGTGCCCTTTGGTGTATGGTTAATGCAGTTCATCATTGCATCTCTGCTCTGATATATTCCCAGCCCCAAACCAATCACCCAGTGAAAAAGGAGCTTTCTATGAGACATGGAAAAATTAGAATTACATTCTATACTTGCAGGTGCTAAAAGGAGACACAAGGATTTATTTCTCCTACTAAACCTGTAGGACAGGATTTCACAGCAAGGGAGACTAAGGGCACGGGCTTGCTTCTCCTTTTTCATTTAGCTCCAGGGTTAGGAATGTGCTTCTTTCAGCCAGGGGTCTGTATAAACTCTGCCACAGGGAGGGTTGTACCTTTGCCCCCTGACCGGCCCCTGCAGACGGCCCCGGTGGGTTTTGGCAGCACTCCTGCACCAACGCTGCCGAAAGCCGCGGCCGTTTGCACAGGTGGGATGGAAATGGCCTTGACACGCTGAGCACGTGTCCTGCCAGGGGCCTGGGGGTGCTGTGCCCAGCACAGCTCCGTGGGGCCCGTCGGCAGGGCCGTGCCCCATCCTCGACTCACCTGAGACGTAAAGGGCCGGTCCCTGCCCTGGTGTGTGCGGGAGGTGCTGCACCGAGCAGGAGAGTTCCTGGTTCCCAGCCCTGGTGAGGATGATGCTGCTCTCAGCTGCAAAGAGCCCGTTCTTGTCCTGGGTAGCGTTTTCCGAGAGGGACGGGAGACGGCGCCCGTGGGGATCGTGCCACAGCACCCGGGGCCGTGGGTACCAGCCGGCAGAGCGACAGGCCACCCGGATCCCCCCGTGCTCGTAGCGCTCCAGCGCGATGAGCGGGGCAGAGCCGCTGGCTGCGGGCAAAGAGAGAGACCCCGGCTGACCCTGCGGGCTCCTGGATATCGGGGGGATAACCTGCTTGGGCTGTTTCTCTCCCTGACGTGGATAAACTGACAGAGACAAATCCCAGATTGTTTTTCAGACAAATGTCACCTGAGTCAGGACATTTCTTGCAGTCTCTTTCATGGAACAGAGAGATTTGGTCTGAAGGCCACTACTGCAGCAAAATAATGCACTGGTCTGAATATTAAAATATAAAAGCACCTTGATGTTCTTCCCTTATTAGCCAATGACAGATTTTTTTTTATACCTGATTTATGAAGAAAACCATATCAAAACCACTTCTGAAGGAGGAAGTATTTCATGAGCTCTTTATGACTGCTCGGTGGGTAGTTTTACCTCTCTGAGTCCTTCCTGATATTTTACACCAAGGGACTTAATAAAACCCTAATTCCAAAGCAACCACCTGAGACTGTTTCTGGGCAGGACAGGGAACAAGAGCACTGGCTGTGAGCAAGTAAATTAGAGGTACTGGGGACACAAACTACAGACCTGTCACCTTGAGCTCCACCAGAGCGTCGTTGTAATCTGAGCCACGTTGAACAAAGCAGGTGTAATTCCCTGTGTCAGAGAGTTGGACGTGGAAGATCCTCAAGTCCGCGCTGCCCTTGGCAAGGCCGTCCTTCCCCAGCTCAGTGCGCCCTTGGTACTGAACCATCTGCTCCCCAAACTGGTCCTGGCCCCACTTGTAGCGATGCACAAAGGGCAAGAACTGCTCCCGAAACCAGGTCACCTCCGTGTCCTGTGCATTCTGCCCCGGGGAGAAGCTGCAGGGCAGCACCACGTCCTCGCCCTTGGCCACGGTGATGGGGCCGGGGGGTGCAGTGACGGTGAGTGGAGCTGGGAGAGACCCCGTAGGAAGAAGAGAGAAGTGTGAGTTTGCTGAGGCAGCTGAGCTGGGACACAGCAGCGGCTGCTGCGCGTGGTTGGGGTGCTGCCGGGCCGGGCCATGGCGCTGGCAGCGTCCCTGTGCCGGGGCAGACGAGGGGCTGAGGGCAGCTGGCACAGGGACCCTGCCCTGCAGCACAGGCAGTGGGCTGGGGCCAGGGCACTCCCCATCCCTCTGCTTCCCTGTCCTGCACTGCAAGGAAAGTTCTTCAAACCCCTTGTTCTCAAGGGGACAAGTGCTGCCCATGTGGCTCAGGGCAGGCAGAAAGGGGCACAAGGAATGATGGAAGTGGCTGGAAGGTTGCTGGGTGGTTGGCTGGAGCAAGTGACAACTTAGGTACAAATAAACCTCAAATATCCTTCACTGTTCTCAAAAATCTATTATAAAAGTAAAAATGTCTCAAGTGCTCTTGGCATCCGTAGAAAATTAAAAGACATAGGCTTAGAATAATCTGTTCACTCAGCTCACAGGCAAACAAAAGCAAATGACCTTTTTTTGACAAGCTCTTTTTCCAGTCAACTGCCAGAGCTGCCTTTAAGAAGCTGCTTCAGGTCAGCAACCAAAGAGAACCCAGACTAATTTGTGAAAGTTCATTGTTGCTGTTGTTGTTGGTTTTTATTGAGCTGGTTCTGCAAAGGGTCCAGCACAGGCTGGACACAGCCCAGTAAAGCAAAGACACACTGTGAATGTGCAGGAGACAGGGAAAGCAGGGAGGGAAATGGTAGCAAACTCTAATCAGTGGGGTTGTGCCCATGCCTGTGTTCCCATGGCCAGAGGGATAAACCAGGATGCAGAGGAATAAACCAGGATCCAGAGGAATGCTGGCACTCTCAGAAGTGAAGAAGGTGTCTGGAAAGGGCCTGACCCTGCTCTGTGCTCTGCTGTTCCCAGTGAGCTGCTGCACTGGCAAGATATTCCAGCTGGAAGCCATGGCACAGCATCCAGCAAGAACAGGGGGATTCTTACCTGAGTGCCCCTGAGGAACTTGGAAAACTAAAGTGGAAATGACAAAAGCCAGCAGAGAGCAGTGGATGGGGGAACCACAGAGCATCCTCCTCTCTGGAGCACAACCTGGAGATGGGGAAGGAGAGGAAAAGGGCAAAAGGGAAGACAAACAAGGGAACTTAAAACCAACCAACCAACCAGGATGAATTCACTTTGCAAGGGGTTCATTGCTGATTTCACCCCTTTCTGGAATGTCGAGGGAAGAAACTTGGATGCCCAAGGTTGAAATCGGTTTTCCCTCATCAGACTGACTTTGGCTAGTGCTTTATAGGCAAAGGACCTGACTGGGATCAAAAGTGGTGGGAATTTCCCATGGGAAAGCAAAGGACAAGCTGCACCATGTCCTCCAATTCCAGCAGAAAGGGGCAGTTGTTTTCCTATGGAGCCCTGGCTTTACTGATCCAGCCTTAAGAAAGAGATGCACAGGGGCAGGAGGAGAAGGACAAACCCTGAGCAAGTCAGGACTCATTGCCTGCACCTCCCTGAGAGTGGGAGAAGGCTTTGGAGCAAGGGAAGCCAAAGAGTCCAAACACTAATGCAAGGCCGAGGCAAGACATTACCTGGCTCTGCTCTGCTCTCCCACCCACCCCCCTTTCTGCCACTGACTTGGTTCCACTTTGCTAACGGGACATGGAAAGCAGAGCTGGTTCTGGCAGATGGCAGAGGGCGATTTCCATCCCATCTTTCCCAAAAGATGCCACGTACCTGGAGACCCTGAGCTCTTTCCTGGGCTCTGGCTGGAGCAGGAGCTGCTCGGCGGTCACCTTGGAGGTGTCCTCTGATCCCAGGTGAGCTGCCCGGAAACCGAAGCAAATTGTCCCTTTGCCCCAGCCTGACACCCATTTCCTCCTGTGCTGCTTCCGTCAGAAGTGAAAGTTGTTGAGTACTTTGTGGAGTTTTTAACCTGGACATGGCCTTCTGGCAGAATGCCCAGGCACACCCTGCTCCAGGGCTGCTCCTTGGACTGGGGAGGGGACAGATGTGGCAGCACTTTGCACATCCCTGGCATGAGCCCAGAGGCCCTGTGGAGTGGAAGGAGTCGGGGAGGACAAGGCAGGGGAGAGGCCGACAGGGTGGAAAAGGGACTGGTCACCAGCACAACGGAGCCTGTCCCTGAGCTTGGCTGGCCAGTGAGTTGGAGAGCCCAGGGGCAGGCAGGGGATGAGTCAGGCCGAGGGTCCCTGCTGGTGTCAGGGGTGCCAGAAGTGTGGGGTGCCTGAGGGCTGCGTGGGTGAGGGCTGCGGGTTTGCAGAGAGCATCAAGCTGGCTGTGGGGGGTCAGAGGGCCCGGGGGTGGGACAGGGGCACCCCTTGGCCAGATGGGAGATCCACCCCTGGCAGAGTGATCACATCACACTCCCCAAACCCACCAAGGTAAGTGCTGTGTGCTGACAATGGTGGGAACAGTCCCTGGATGGCTGGAGACACATCCTGTGCCTCACGGCCCTGCCTGGAACACCATCCTGGGCCTGGAAAAGCAAGTCCTGGGGTGACGTGGCCCCCCAGCCAGAATTGAATGGGACAATGGGGCATCTTTCAAAAACACCCTCACAGACACCTGGGCAGAGAGCTCAGGATGGAGTGGGTGGAGCATATTCCCTGTCATGCACCAGAATTTCCAGAATTTGAGAGGTGGGGCCTCACTAGTGCTGAGCCCAGGTCACTGCCCCGAGTCCTGCTGGCCACCTCCCACACCACTGCTGTCTTCCAGCTCCCTCTCAATTCCTCATTTCACTGCTTTGTTCAGCTCCATCTGTTGGAGCTGTGGCTCCAAGGGATGAGGAGGGGACTGATGGTGGTGTCAGGGAGTGGATCCACAGGGGTTGATCCTGACACCTTTTCCCTGGAGAGTGGGAGGAAAAAAATGACACACTTCTGGATTCTGGTGCTCGGCTTTTCCTGCCAAAGAAAAACAACCCCCAGATGTTACATGGATGGTATTAATATTCAGTGCCAAAACTCCACCTCCTATCTCTGAATCCAGGACATTACCCACCCCTTAGTCTATACCATCCACATCCTGCTCAGATTTAACCCCTTTCAACTATATCCATAGAACTCTAAACAAGCAAAGGTATTATTTCAGTAGTCACAGACCATCCCCCAAGATGTTGGCTGAGTTCATTTAGTCCATCACTGGTGTAGCTGGACCACTCCATACTCATTCTCCATGGCACTTACAGGATACAGTGGCAGTGGCATTCAGCAACCAGTATTCCATATGCAATTCAACAGTACAGGCTTTTCTCACCCAAAAATCAAATCCCCTGGAGGTACAAATTGTCTTTCCCCATCCCTCTGCATCACTCACCAAGTCCCTGAGCAAAACCAATCCCACGCACAGCTTTGCCTTTGCTTGAGGCAGGACTGATCCAAAGTGTCGTCTCCAAACATTTCTCATGTGCACCACAGGGACTTTATCCCTTTCTGTGCTATGTGGGGGTTCTGACTGGGCAGGGCCAGCTGGGTTGGTGGAGGCTGGAGTGTGAACTAACCAGGTGGCCTTCTCGAAATGTGGATCCCAGTGTTTGAAGGCCTCACCACCCATTGCTTTCCATGTAGTTTTTAACAGTCCATTGTACCATTGCACTTTCCCAGAGGCTGGTGCACGACAGGGAATATGATCCATCCACTCCATCCTGAGCTCTCTGCCCAGGTGTCTGTGAGGCTGTTTCTGAAAGGAGCCCCATTGTCCCATTCAGTTCTTGCTGGGGGGCCACGTTGCCCCAGGACTTGTTCTTCCAGGCCCAGGATGGTGTTCCAGGCAGGGCTGTGAGGCACAGGATGTGTCTCCAGCCATCCAGGGACTGTTCCCACCATTGTCAGCACACAGCACTTACCTTGGCGGGTTTGGGAGTGTGATGTGATGTGATGTGATGGGATCACTCTGCCAGGCCTCCTCAGATTTTGATTTCAGCCATCATCCCCCACACCACAGAGGCTTTACCTGCCTGGCCCTGATTGATTGCAGCACATGATTCACAGTCATGGATAACCTGGGAGATGGTTAATTGCCCTTGGTCATGAGCCCATCTCTATGTTGCATCTCTTCCCTCATGACCTGAGGTGTCATGGGCCCATCAAGCCAGAAATAGTTCCCCCTTATGTTGCCAGTCCAGATCCACCTCAGACACTTTAATCTCAGCAGCTTGATCTGCCTGTCTGTTGTTGGGATGTTCTTCAGTAGCCCGACTTTTGGGTACCAGCCTCAGTGCTGCCCCAGTCCTGCCCCTGCCCCAGGAGCTTGCACACATCCTGGCCAAGGAGACCCCCGTTCCCTGGGGGAGGATGCACGTCAGTGGGTGGGGGCACATCTGCACTGCAGACACCTGGACCTGAGCCTGGCAGTCCCTGGGGCTGCAGGAGCACAACAGGCAGGTCTGGGCACAAACCAGTGCAGACCAGGAGAGATGTTACCCCAAGACCCAGAACCCGAGGCCCCAAAATCCTGTTTCTTTCTCCATGCAAAGGAAGGGGCCAAGGATGTCACCTCAGGTGTCTTTGGTGCTGGTGGTGGCTCAACAGATCAGCACGAGAAGTTCAGCTGAGGGTGTGGCAGCCACTGAATCCCAAGCCATGACAAGCCCAGGCTGGGACAAGCTCCAGGTGCTTTGAACCTAAATAGTTCTTCCAAAGCAGAAGATGCATTTTTTCCTCCTCAAGAGGGGAAAGTTCTCCTTCCTCTTCCCTCCTGAAACTCACCTCTTCCACTCATCTCCTCCACCTCATTCACCAAGGTCTCACTCTCTTCTCTCTCCAGCCTGGATGCCAGCACATGTACAGAAAATCAACAGGAGGGCAGGAAGGATTCCCTGTTGAAAGTGACAATGGCAGGACTCTGAGACTGCCTAAAGATGACAAAGCAGAGAAGCAAGGATGGAAAGGTCACAGTATTCTGGCACTTTTTAGACAGTCAGCACTCACCTGCAGGTTGGCTGCAGGAAGGGAGGTTTGGGAGGAGTTGGCAGGTCTTCAGTCTGCTCCCCACTCCCCTGATCTCTTGCTCAGCTCCTGGCTGGACTGAGCTTGCCCAGCACTTGCAGCTTGTTTGAGTGAGCAGAGCACAGTGCAGAGGGGCTGGATGGCCTGGAGAGCCCAGCTGGGACTGAGAGTGTGTCTGGGGGACCAGCCCATGGAGCTTCTCCCTCCCCTCCTCTGGGCGAAGGCTCCTCCTGCCCTGAAGCTTCCAGCCCACGTGTGATCTCATCTAACACTTGAATTTGGCTGCTCTTCCAGCTCCTGCAGTGCCCAGCCCTGTCTGCAGCACAGGCTCTGCCACAGGGCCCCTCCCTCCTGCCAGCTGCAGGGGGGTGATAAAGCCCCTGAGCACTGCAGGAGCTGCTGTCCTTTGCTGTACACATCTGTGTCACTGGACCCATCCCTTGCTGCTTCCCTCTTTGCCTTGTCACCCCTTTTGGCCAGGGCCCTGATCAGCTCCCTTTTCCCCAGCAGGTGCCCCCTGGCCTGACTGGGCTGGGAGGGTGTGGAACCCACAGGGCTGAGCGCCCACGGGCACTGCCTTTGCCTCCCTCAGGGCAGCAGCTTTGCCTCAACCAAGCACCCTCCATGGCCTTGCCTCTTGGCTGCCAATTGCTTTTAAGCAAGAGTGAAGCTGCTGCTGCTGGGCTTTGCTCCCACCCACTGCCTCTGGGGGTGAATCCCGGCTCCATCACCTCCCTCCTGCCCAAATGGCCTCTGGGCTCATGCCAGGGATGTGCAAAGTGCTGCCACATCTGTCCCCTCCTGAGCCCAGGGAGCAGCCCTGGAGAGCCCCTGCAGCAGGGGTGTGCCTGGGCATGCTGCCAGAAGGGCATGTCCAGATCAAAAACTCTCCAAATTACTCAACAACTTTCACTTTTGACAGGAGGCAGTGCAAGAGAAAACAGGTGTCAGGCTGGGACGGGGTGATAATTTTTTTGGTTTTCAGACACCTCAGCTGGGATCAGGGGACCCTTTCAATACACTTGGTGACAGTCAAGTAGGTCCTGCTCCAGCCAGAGCCCAGGACAGAGCTCAGCATCTCCAGGTACGTGGCATCTTTTGGGAAAGATGGGATGGAAATTGCCCTCTGCCATCTGCCAGAACCAGCTCTGCTTTCCATGTCCCGTTAGCAAAGTGGAACCAAGTCAGTGGCAAAAAGGGGGGTGGGTGGGAGAGCAGAGCAGAGCCAGGTCGTGTCTTGGCTGGGCCTTGCATTAGTGTTTGGACTCTTTGGCTTCCCTTGCTCCAAAGCCTTCTCCCACTCTCAGGGAGGTGCAGCCAATGAGTCCTGACTCGCTCAGGGTTTGTCCTTCCCATCCTGCCCCTGTGAGTCTCTTTCTTAAGGCTGGATCAGAAAAGCCAGGGCTCCATAGGAAAACAACTGCCCCTTTCTGCTGGAATTGGAGGAGATGGTGCAGCTTGTCCTTTGCTTTCCCATGGGAAATTCCCACCACTTCTGATCCCAGTCAGGTCCTTTGCCTATAGAGCCCTAACCAAAGTCAGTCTGATGAGGGAAAATTGATTTCAACCTTGGGCATCCAAGTTTCTTCCCTCAACATTCCAGAAAGGGCTGAAATCAGCAATGAACCCCTTTCAAAGTGAATTCATCCTCGTTGCTTGGTTGGTTTGATTGTTTTAAATTCCCTTGTTTGTCTTCCTTTTTGCCCTTTGCCTGTCCTTCCCCATCTCCAGGTTGTGCTCCAGGGAGGAGGATGCTCTGTGGTTCCCCCATCCACTGCTCTCTGCTGGCTTTTGTCATTTCCACTTTAGTTTTCCAAGTTCCTCAGGGGCACTCAGGTAAGAATCCCCCTGTTCTTGCTGGATGCTGTGCCATGGCTTCCAGCTGGAATATCTTGCTGGCTGCCAGTGCAGCAGCTCGCTGGGAACAGCAGAGCAGAGAGCAGGGTCAGGCCCTTTCCTTTGCTGTTTGGTGCCCAGGCCGTGCTGCAGGGCAGGGTCCCTGTGCCAGCTGCCCTCAGCCCCTCGTCTGCCCCGGCACAGGGACGCTGCCAGCGCCATGGCCCGGCCCGGCAGCACCCCAACCACGCGCAGCAGCCGCTGCTGTGTCCCAGCTCAGCTGCCTCAGCAAACTCACACTTCTCTCTTCTTCCTACGGGGTCTCTCCCAGCTCCACTCACCGTCACTGCACCCCCCGGCCCCATCACCGTGGCCAAGGGCGAGGACGTGGTGCTGCCCTGCAGCTTCTCCCCGGGGCAGAATGCACAGGACACGGAGGTGACCTGGTTTCGGGAGCACTTCTCGCCCTTTGTGCATCGCTACAAGTTGGGCCAGGACCAGTTTGGGGAGCAGATGGTTCAGTACCAAGGGCGCACTGAGCTGGGGAAGGACGGCCTTGCCAAGGGCAGCGCGGACCTGAGGATCTTCCACGTCCGACTCTCTGACACAGGGAATTACACCTGCTTTGTTCGTCGTGGCTCAGATTACGATGAGGCTCTGGTGGAGCTCAAGGTGACAGGTCTGTAATTTGTGTCCCTGGTACCTCTAATTTACTTGCTCACAGCCAGTGCTCTTGTTCCCTGTCCTTCTGCCCAGAAACAGTCTCAGGTGGTTGCTTTGGAAACAGGGTTTTATTAAGTCCCATTGTTGAAAATACCAAGAATGTTTCATAGAGGTAAAACTGCCCACCGAGCAGCCATGAGGAACTCGTAAGATGCTTCCTCCTTCAAAATGTTCTTGATATTGCTCCCCCACAGCAGCACTTGTTTTTGAACTCTTGTTCTTCTTGTTCTTTGGGAATGAACAAGTCCTATGATATGGTTTGAAGCTGGCTCCCTGCCAAGTGTCCAAACCTTACCACAAGAGTTCCCCCCCCACACCAAACCTCAGGGAGAAGATGGAGAAAAACCACCAAGAAAACCCGAAACGAGAGAGAGACAGCTAAAGTAATATATGTAAATATATTTACACTTATGTTACACTTATATACCATTAAAATAGATACAATTTCCCAAGGGAAAGGGAAGGGGGAAGGGAAAAGGAACAAAACCAAAATAAAATATATATATATATATCCCAATTAGTGGCCCGAGATCTAGTAACTAAAAGAGTTAGCAAAGAAATATCTCACTACTCTCCTTGGGACGACCGAGGGTCGCTCTGGACCGATCGCCGGCAACCTCCGTCTCCCAGGGTCGGCAAGGCCTAACCAGGCCTCGCTCCCCAACACGGCAGACCCAACAGCAGGGAACCTGCACCTCCAAGCCGCCGGAAGGAAAGAGAGCGAAGGCCTCTCCTCCTTTCTTCTTATAGTCTGGATTACGTAAAAATTGTAGGGAATACTGGGTAGATCTGGACCCTTCCTTGGTAACAAACTGGTCACCAAGGAAGGCCTAGCCCAAACCACCACATCCTGGAAACGTTATCTCCCTGGGGATGCATTACCTTTCTCCTGGTGATGCTGCTCTGCACTGGAGTGTTGCTGTTGATGCACATGTCACCCTATTTGTGATCCCATGTTGCCTAAGGAAATCTGATATTTGGGGTTTTTTTCCAAAAAAAAAGAAAGCATGATTTACCCAGAAGGAATTTGATTAGAAATCCACCTTCCCTTTAAAGGTCCTCCACAATGCAGAGAAATTTCATCAGCCTCAGACAAGTGTGAAATTGCCAAAAATATTTGGTTTTATTGTCATTTCTTGTCCGTTTGTGGAGCACAGTCAGGAGCTCTTTTTCAGCCCTTAGTGTGAGTCAGATGGAATGACCTTATATAAAGTAGAAATAATTTCCTTCCTATTGCAAGTCACAAAGTAACCTCCCCTTGGGGGATTTAATTTTTCAGATCCCTTTTTCCAATGTGCCCATCCTTGGAGGATTGCCCTGGGTGTGGTCCTGCCTGCTGTGGTTGCTCTTTTTATTATCACTGTTTATCTATTTAAAATTAAAGGTACCGTCCGGGGTTTGGGGGCTGGGGAAGGGGCTGGGCAGCCATCCTACTCAGCCACCGCTAGTCCTGAGGGATGAGGGGGTTGAGAAACACCAGGATGGAACCAGAGTCTTGTCCTGGTGTCTCAGGCACATGTTTGGTGCCAGGGAACTTAAAAACCCACGGCCTTAACTTGTGTCAGAGAAGAAAAGAAAGCTTTCTTCTCCAAGAAGAAGGCAAAGAAGGAAGTTGGCATTAAAGCAGCATCAGCTGCTCCTCTGCCCCAGCACAGAAAGGGAGCAAGAATTGGCCTTGACCTGCAAAGAATCCCTGGCAGTTTGGGGGGCCTGGCAGGGCCTCCTTTCCTTCTAGAGATGGGGGAAGCTTTAGGGTAGCACATTTCATTGTGCAGGGGCCTCAGCTGTTCTGAGCACTGCAGAGCACAGGCACAGGGCCCTTAGGGAGCACTGCAGGGGACATTTCACCCCACGCTCCTCCCTTGGAGCTGCAAAGCTGCCCCTTCAGCGCTGCCCTGGAGCTGGAGCCCGTGCTCAGGTCTCCAGCAGCACGGTCTGATCTCTGCCCACAGCGGGCTCCGGGAGGGTGGGTGAGACCCCCAAAGTCTTGGGAAGACAGGTCCTGAGGAGTTCCTGGGCTGCAGCTTTTCCCTCATGAGCAATTTCAGCCTCCTCCCTATCCCAGCAAGTCTGTCCTGGAAAAGGATTTTTTGCAGCCTGTGGAGGGTAGTGGGTTCATTTGGGCTTTTTTCTCTCACTTTTAATGTGTGAAGTGAACCAAAAACTGGTTCACTTTGTGGTTCATTTGGTGATGGGTGGAAGGAGAGAGTGAATTTGAGAATCCAAAATTCAAAGTGACTGAAGATGGTGCCTGGGGATGGGATCGGGTGGGGGCAGCAGTAGCAGTGGCAGGGTGGGAGTGCCCTGGTGCCCTTGGAGATGAGGGACCTGCCAGAGATCCTTTCCTGCCCCCAGGTTGAGCAGGACAAGCTGCCCCATGGGCGGGGGAGCAGAGCTGCAGGCTGGGGGTGGGACAGGGCTTTGCACTGCTCAGCCTTGGCACAAACCCGCCCTCCAGCCCGTGCAGGGGGTCCCAGGAGAGGGCAGACAGGGGATGGCCAAATCAATGGCCCACAACCCATTTGTGCTGCTTTCTCTTCCTTTTCAGGGAAACAAGCCCAGGAACTCGGTGAGTATCATTCTCTTCTGTTTGTGGGAGTCTTCTCAGTTGGGCATTTTTTCTCTCCTGTGTTTTTCATGTGTGCCCTTGTTTTGGGCACAGAACAAATACAGAACTTGTTTCAGAAACATTCTTTTCCATTGGTCTCTGTGTGGTTTTAGGCTCTTCCTTGTAATTGTTCAGTACTAAGAAGAAAATTCTTTCAGTTCTCAAAGTCCAAACTGACCATAAATGCATGTCCCAGTCAGGACAGGCAGCGTGATTGGATTTGTAGGAAATGGGTGGAGCCCTTCCATGTAGTCAGACACTGAAGTTTTGAAGCAGCTCGCTGTGAGATGACTTTCATAAAGATAACAACAATTCAGAAAATGTGCACCTCCCCTGGCATATCATTCCCCTGAGCTAACCCAGCCCCAGTGTGTTCCATTGCCTCTGACCTGTGGTTTTTGTGGTTTTTTAAAGCCTGGAGAAGACACGCAGTGCCTATAGAAGCAGGTAACTAAAAAAGTTTGGAGTTTCCTGGTGCTGAATCATCTTGCCTGCTTTAATGGCCCTTCCTGGCAGTTCCCCTCCTGCAAGTGATGCTGCTGGGACCAGGCATGCTTCTGCTGAGCCTCCCTTTCCTTTGGTGCATGTCCCACTTTCAGGCAAATCTGGAGGATCCTTGTCCTCGGTGGGCTGTGCACAATTCTTCCTCCTGGAGCTCTGCTGATGATCCTCTTCCCTCTCTGCTCACTCTGTTCTCTCTGCTGCAGTTTCTGTTCCTTGCACTGCTGTTGTCACCTTGTGCACCTTGCCATGCCACACTCTGCCAGCTCTCCCTCCCCCCCTGCTTCTTCCTTAGGCAGCCCCAGCAAAGATGTGTCCTGGGCCGAGCTCTGCCCTGATGTGTTGATTCCATCTCTCCTGCAGCGAACGTGGTTCTGGATCCAGACACAGCCCACTGTGAGCTTGTCCTGTCTGACAATGGCAAAGGTGTGAAACGACTTGACACACGACAGGACATCCCCGACACCCCCAAGAGATTTAACCCGTGGCGCTGCGTTCTGGGCTGTGAGGGCTTCACCTCGGGGAGACACTACTGGGAGGTGGAGGTGGAGAATGCAGGAGAATGGATTGTGGGGATTTTTAGAGATGGTGCGGAAAGGAAGGGTGATATTGAGTTTAAACCAGAGAAAGGCATCTGGGCAGTAGGGAAACGGCCAGAACTGAAAGCTTTCACCTCCCCTAGTCTGACTATATTTCCTGAAATCAAGGCTCCCAGGCGGATCCGGGTCTCTCTGGATTATGAAATGGGACAGGTGGCATTTTTCAGTGTTGATGAGGGGATTCCCATTTTCATGTTCCCACGGGCATCATTTGGGCGGAAAAAAGTCTACCCTTGGGTCTGTCTGGGTTCTGGGACACATCTGACAATATGTCCCTGATGAAGAGGAGGCAGTAAGAGAAGGGTCTCCAAGGGTGGAGATCTCGTTACCTCTCTGCACCTCTCTTCCATGCTGCATCTCTCCAAGATCTTTCTCTGAGGCCAGACGTGCTGTTCTGGTCCCAGTGCAGATCAGTGGGAGAGGCCATGGCCAAGACCTTGTGTTATGAGATCACCTCACATCATTTCCAGGTGTGGGGAAAAGGGACTTTCTCTCCTGCTTCTGAGGGTGTTCCTTACACATGGAGGGTGGAACCATTGTTTCCTTGTCTCAGGCTCAGTGAGCATTTGGCATGGAAATCACCCTCCCTTTGTACACTTTTCTTCTTAGTATTGTTGCTGTTCCTGTTGGTTTTATGGTATCATTGCTGTTTCCAGGGAATTGTTCTTCTCTCCACCCATGATCTTTGCCTTTTGTGCTCTCAACCAGAGGTGGGGGCAGGGGGAGTGAGCAGCATCTGCTTTGGGAGAGTCTGGGTGGGAGCACTTGATTGGGGAGCACCATTCCTGAAACACCACACATGCTTTCACACCAGATCCTCCATTCCATGGAGATCCAGCAGGCATGGACCTTCCCAAGGGAAGGCTTCACCCCAACCGAACTGGTAAGGAGGGAGACTTCAGTGCAGGTGGTGGGTTTGTGGCCTAAACTCAGCTCTTGAAAGAAACCTCCAAGACCAAAGTTGTGAGTTTGAGAAGCCAGGCATTCTTTTATTAGGGTGCACTGAAGTGACTCCAGCACGCCGGGTGCCCTGGGAATCAGTTCCCAAAGTGCACCCAGAGGGATCCTCACCACAGCTCTGTGATAGTTTTCACACCGGGCCTTCCTGGAGACCAGCTTGTAACCAGGAAGGAACTAGGAAGGTGACCCAGGAAGTATTCCATGCTCTTCCTTCATGTCACCTGGGGTATCAATAAGGCAGAGATAAGAGGGTTCGCTCTCTTCCTTTGCGGCGAGGTTCGAGAACGGTGGGTGCCTGTCTTGGTCTTGCTCATGTGGAGCTGAGGCCCACAGTGACTGCTGTTGTCTGCCCCGCGTGAGGGGACAGTGCTGGGCCGCGTCCAGCTGTCCTGCTTCTCTCAAGGGAAGTGGGGAGATTTTGACAGTTCTTCAGTTTGCTGGTTACCGGGTTTTTAGATTGTGTAGACCTGTTTTGATTCTGTCCCTTTTCATCCTTTTTTTGTCCTTTTTTCCCTTCTCCCTTCCCTTTAGGAAGCTCTTTGGGGTTTCTGGGGTTATAGGTATATAGTATTTCTCACGGTATATATTTGTTTTATATGTAAAATATATCTTTGCTATATCTTTGACTGTTTGGTTTTTTTTTTCTCCCCTCTCTGGGAAGCAAGGCTCTGTTGTCGAGTGTTGGAGATTTGGTGGGAAGCCAACTCCAAACTTGCACAAGCTGATATGTCAGTATGACATGATTCTTCCTTTTTTGTTCCCCACATTCCTGTTCCATATTCATGACATTTCTCAACACTCCTTAGCATGCATACATGTCCTTTTAAGGTCTCTGAGGGGCTTCATTGGGGATCCCTGGTGGTCATCTGTGTCTGGAGCCCCCAAAGTTCTGAGTGACTGCCTTATGACCTTCCTTAAGAAAATACCCCAGGTTCTACATCAACCCAGCATCACCTGCTCAGCTGCTTCAGCTCCTTTCTTCATTGATTCCCCACCTTGCTTGGCTGCTTTCTTTCAATCAAAGCACAGGAATTTTCTCTGGGACCTTCTGCTGCAAACACTATGAGTTCTTGTTCCATCTCTAAACCCCAAGATCCCGTTGCAACAAGTGCCCAGCCCCTCCTCCTGGAGAAAAGGTGTGCACAGGTTGATGATGTGTTCTGTCAGGAGCAGGGAAGAGTTCAAAGGCTGTGCAGTATTGGAGGAGCTGAGGTGGATGCAGGTGGGTGGGTTTAGAACCAGGTTTCTGGGACCGTCAGCACTGAGAACGAGGCACCTCAGATCTGGTGGCCCACAAAAGCAGGACTCTGCTTCAGTCTCCACCCTTCAGCATCACCACCAAACCCAGACTCAACACTTTAACAGCTGTAGACAGCCCTGAGCAAGGTCTGTCTGCCAGGAGAGAGTGCAGCAGCAGAACACAGCAGACCCCCTAAAAGAAAGGATGAGTGCTCCTAGTGGGGGACTGCGTTAAGGGCCACTGAGGCACTCATCTGCCAGCCCTGCAGGGAGTCACCAGAGGTCTCCCCCCTTCTGGCAGCTGAGCTCGGAGATGGTGCTCAGAGGCTGCCACAGCCTGTCAAGATTTTCCCCAGACAAATGAAAGATGTCCCCTGGCACCCTGGGAGAAAACCAAGGTGGCAGCCATTCCCATGCTGCTGACTCCATGTGTTTGCCCCAGACAAAGGCAAAGGGGGAGGGGGCTCCCACAGGAACTCTTTCCCTTCCTCCAGCCCAGAAAACTGTGGGAAAATGCTCCACTGTGCTGGGGGTTGGTTCTGTGTGGCAACTGGGGCTTAGCCACGGGCAGCTCTGCAGTGGCTCCTCTCTCTCTCTGGGCACTGTGGGGTGGCTCCAGAGCTCTCCTTTTGGGCTTGGCTCAGGGCACTGGGGGTTACCCCTGCTGCTCCCTTCCCCGGGGCTGCCTCCCACACCACTGCTGTCTTCCAGCTCCCTCTCAATTCCTCATTTCACTGCTTTGTTCAGCTCCACCTGTTTGGAGCTGTGGCTTCAAGGGATGAGGAGGGGACTGCTGGTGGTGGCAGGGACTGGATCCACAGAGGTTGATCCTGACACCTTTCCCCTGGAGAGTGGGAGCAAAAATGACACACTTCTGGATTCTGGTGTTCAGCCTTTCCTGCCAAAAAACACCCCCCAGATGTGACATGGATGGTATTGAACATCCAGTGCTAAAACTCCACCTCCTATCTCTGAATCCAGGATATTACCAACCCCTTAGTCTATACCATCCACATCCTGCTCAGGTTTAACCCCTTTCAACTATATCCATAGAACTCTAAACAAGCAAAGGTATTATTTCAGTAGTCACAGACCATCCCCCAAGATGTTGGCTGAGTTCATTTAGTCCATCACTGGTGTAACTGGAGCAGTCCATTCTCATTCTCCATGGCACTTACAGGACACAGTGGCAGTGGCATTCAGCAACCAGTATTCCATGGGCAATTCAACAGTACAGGCTGTCCTCACCCAAAAATCAAATCCCCTGGAGGTACAAAATGTCTTTCCCCATCCCTCTGCATCACTCACCAAGTCCCTGAGCAAAACCAATCCCACGCACAGCTTTGCCTTTGCTTGAGGCAGGACTGATCCAAAGTGTCGTCTCCAAACATTTCTCATGTGCACCAAAGGGACCTTATGGCCTTCTGTGCTATGTGGGGGTTCTGACTGGGCAGGGCCAGCTGGGTTGGTGGAGGCTGGAGTGTGAACTAACCAGGTGGCCTTCTCGAAATGTGGATCCCAGTGTTTGAAGGCCTCACCACTCATTGCTTTCCATGTGGTTTTTAACAGTCCATTGTACCATTGCACTTTCCCAGAGGCTGGTGCACGACAGGGAATATGATCCATCCACTCCATCCTGAGCTCTCTGCCCAGGTGTCTGTGAGGCTGTTTTTGAAAGGAGCCCCATTGTCCCATTCAGTTCTGGCTGGGGGGCCACGTCACCCCAGGACTTGCTTTTCCAGGCCCAGGATGGTGTTCCAGGCAGGGCCGTGAGGCACAGGATGTGTCTCCAGCCATCCAGGGACTGTTCCCACCATTGTCAGCACACAGCACTTACCTTGGTGGGTTTGGGGAGTGTGATGTGATCACTCTGCCAGGGGTGGATCTCCCATCTGGCCAAGGGGTGCCCCTGTCCCACCCCCGGGCCCTCTGACCCCCCACAGCCAGCTTGATGCTCTCTGCAAACCCGCAGCCCTCACCCACGCAGCCCTCAGGCACCCCACACTTCTGGCACCCCTGACACCAGCAGGGACCCTCGGCCTGACTCAGACCCCTGCCTGCCCCTGGGCTCTCCAACTCACTGGCCAGCCAAGCTCAGGGACAGGCTCCGTTGTGCTGGTGACCAGTCCCTTTTCCACCCTTTTGGCCTCTCCCCTGCCTTGTCCTCCCCGACTCCTTCCACTCCACAGGGCCTCTGGGCTCATGCCAGGGATGTGCAAAGTGCTGCCACATCTGTCCCCTCCCCAGTCCAAGGAGCAGCCCTGGAGCAGGGTGTGCCTGGGCATTCTGCCAGAAGGCCAGGTCCAGGTTAAAAACTCCACAAAGTACTCAACAACTTTCACTTCTGACGGAAGCAGCACAGGAGGAAATGGGTGTCAGGCTGGGGCAAAGGGACAATTTGCTTTGGTTTCCGGGCAGCTCACCTGGGATCAGAGGACACCTCCAAGGTGCCAGGTGACCGCCGAGCAGCTCCTGCTCCAGCCAGAGCCCAGGAAAGAGCTCAGAGTCTCCAGGTACGTGGCATCTTTTGGGAAAGATGGGATGGAAATCGCCCTCTGCCATCTGCCATGGCAGAGGAAAAAAAGCTCTGCTTTCCATGTCCCGTTAGCAAAGTGGAACCAAGTCAGTGGCAAAAAGGGGGGTGGGTGGGAGAGCAGAGCAGAGCCAGGTCCTGTCTTGGCTGGGCCTTGGATGAGTGTTTGGACTCTTTGGCTTCCCTTGCTCCAAAGCCTTCTCCCACTCTCAGGGAGGTGCAGGCAATGAGTCCTGACTCGCTCAGGGTTGGTCCTTCTCCTCCTGCCCCTGTGTATCTCTTTCTTAAGGCTGGATCAGAAAAGCCAGGGCTCCATAGGAAAACAACTGCCCCTTTCTGCTGGAATTGGAGGAGATGGTGCAGCTTGTCCTTTGCTTTCCCATGGGAAATTCCCACCACTTTTGATCCCAGTCAGGTCCTTTGCCTATAAAGCACTAACCAAAGTCAGTCTGATGAGGGAAAATTGATTTCAACCTTGGGCATCCAAGTTTCTTCCCTCAACATTCCCAAAAGGGATGAAAGCAGCAATGAACCCCTTTCAAAGTGAATTCATCCTGGTTGGTTGGTTGGTTGGTTTGGTTATTTTAAATTCCCTTGTTTGTCTTCCCTTTTGCCCTTTTCCTCTCCTTCCCCATCTCCAGGTTGTGCTCCAGGGAGGAGGATGCTCTGTGGTTCCCCCATCCACTGCTCTCTGCTGGCTTTTGTCATTTCCACTTTAGTTTTCCAAGTTCCTCAGGGGCACTCAGGTAAGGATCCCCCTGTTCTTGCTGGATGCTGTGCCATGGCTTCCAGCTGGAATATCTTGCCAGTGCAGCAGCTCACTGGGAACAGCAGAGCAGAGAGCAGGGTCAGGCCCTTTCCAGACACCTTCTTCACTTCTGAGAGTGCCAGCATTCCTCTGGATCCTGGTTTATTCCTCTGCATCCTGGTTTATCCCTCTGGCCATGGGAACACAGGCATGGGCACAACCCCACTGATTAGAGTTTGCTGCCATTTCCCTCCCTGCTTTCCCTGTCTCCTGCACATTCACAGTGTGTCATTGCTTTACTGGGCTGTGTCCAGCCTGTACTGGACCCTTTGCAGAACCAGCTCAATAAAAACCAACAACAACAGCAACAATGAACTTTCACAAATTACTCTGGGTTCTCTTTGGTTGCTGACCTGAAGCAGCTTCTTAAAGGCAGCTCTGGCAGTTGACTGGAAAAAGAGCTTGTCAAAAAAAGGTCATTTGCTTTTGTTTGCCTGTGAGCTGAGTGAACAGATTATTCTAAGCCTATGTCTTTTAATTTTCTACGGATGCCAAGAGCACTTGAGACATTTTTACTTTTATAATAGATTTTTGAGAACAGTGAAGGATATTTGAGGTTATTTGTACCTAAGTTGTCACTTGCTCCAGCCAACCACCCAGCAACCTTCCAGCCACTTCCATCATTCCTTGTGCCCCTTTCTGCCTGCCCTGAGCCACATGGGCAGCACTTGTCCCCTTGAGAACAAGGGGTTTGAAGAACTTTCCTGGCAGTGCAGGACAGGGAAGCAGAGGGATGGGGAGTGGCCTGGCTCCAGCCCACTGCCCGTGCTGCAGGGCAGGGTCCCTGTGCCAGCTGCCCTCAGCCCCTCGTCTGCCCCGGCACAGGGACGCTGCCAGCGCCATGGCCCGGCCCGGCAGCACCCCAACCACGCGCAGCAGCCGCTGCTGTGTCCCAGCTCAGCTGCCTCAGCAAACTCACACTTCTCTCTTCTTCCTACGGGGTCTCTCCCAGCTCCACTCACCGTCACTGCACCCCCCGGCCCCATCACCGTGGCCAAGGGCGAGGACGTGGTGCTGCCCTGCCGCTTCTCCCCGGGGCAGAATGCACAGGACACGGAGGTGACCTGGTTTCGGGAGCACTTCTTGCCCTTTGTGCATCGCTACAAGTGGGGCCAGGACCAGTTTGGGGAGCAGATGGTTCAGTACCAAGGGCGCACTGAGCTGGGGAAGGACGGCCTTGCCAAGGGCAGCGCGGACTTGAGGATCTTCCACGTCCAACTCTCTGACACAGGGAATTACACCTGCTTTGTTCAACGTGGCTCAGATTACGACGACGCTCTGGTGGAGCTCAAGGTGACAGGTCTGTAGTTTGTGTCCCTGGTACCTCTAATTTACTTGCTCACAGCCAGTGCTCTTGTTCCCTGTCCTTCTGCCCAGAAACAGTCTCAGGTGGTTGCTTTGGAATTAGGGTTTTATTAAGTCCCTTGGTGTAAAATATCAAGAATGTCTCAGAGATGTAAAATTGCCCACTGAGCAGTCATAAAGAGCTCATGAAATACTTCCTCCTTCAGAAGTGGTTTTGATATGGTTTTCTTCATAAAAGTGGATGTAAGAAAAAGATCTGTCATTGGCTAATAAGGGAAGAACATCAAGGTGCTTTCATGTTTTAATATCCAGGCCAGTGCATTATTTTGCTGCAGTAGTGGCCTTCAGAGCAAATCTCTCTGCTACATGAAAGAGATGGCAAGAAATGTCCTGACTCAGGTGACATTTGTCTGAAAAACAATCTGGGATTTGTCTCTGTCAGTTTATCCACATCAGGGAGAGAAACAGCCCAAGCAGGTTATCCCCCCGATATCCAGGAGCCCGCAGGGTCAGCCGGGGTCTCTCTCTTTGCCCGCAGCCAGCGGCTCTGCCCCGCTCATCGCGCTGGAGCGCTACGAGCACGGGGGGATCCGGGTGGCCTGTCGCTCTGCCGGCTGGTACCCACGGCCCCGGGTGCTGTGGCACGATCCCCACGGGCGCCGTCTCCCGTCCCTCTCGGAAAACGCTACCCAGGACAAGAACGGGCTCTTTGCAGCTGAGAGCAGCATCATCCTCACCAGGGCTGGGAACCAGGAACTCTCCTGCTCGGTGCAGCACCTCCCGCACACACCAGGGCAGGGACCGGCCCTTTACGTCTCAGGTGAGTCGAGGATGGGGCACGGCCCTGCCGACGGGCCCCACGGAGCTGTGCTGGGCACAGCACCCCCAGGCCCCTGGCAGGACACGTGCTCAGCGTGTCAAGGCCATTTCCATCCCACCTGTGCAAACGGCCGCGGCTTTCGGCAGCGTTGGTGCAGGAGTGCTGCCAAAACCCACCGGGGCCGTCTGCAGGGGCCGGTCAGGGGGCAAAGGTACAACCCTCCCTGTGGCAGAGTTTATACAGACCCCTGGCTGAAAGAAGCACATTCCTAACCCTGGAGCTAAATCCATTTTCACTGGGTGATTGGTTTGGGGCTGGGAATATATCAGAGCAGAGATGCAATGATGAACTGCATTAACCATACACCAAAGGGCACTGCAGCAGCACGTCCTTTCCAACTCCACCCTGCTCCTCTTGGAGTTTAGAAATTAACAAGTTCTGGAGACTTTATTTCCTTGGGGAACCATTACCTTTCTCCTGGTGATGCTGTTCTGCACTGGAGTTTTGCTCTTGATGCACATGTCACCCTATTTGTGAGTCTATGTTGCCTAAGGAAATATAATATTTATTTTTTCCCAAAGGAGAAGAAAGCATGATTTAATGAGAAATCACTTGGTTAGAAATTCATCTTCCCTTTAAAAATCCTCCACAATGCAGACGAAATGTCATCAACCTCAGACAGGTGCGAAATTGCCAAAATGGATTTTTTGTCATTTTTTGCCCTTCTGTGGAGCACAGTCTGGTTTTCACCGTCAGTGGGATTCCGATGGAATGACCTTGTATGAAACAGAAATAATCTCCTTTCAATTGCTACTTGCACAGTAACCTCCCCTTTGGGGATTTTATTTTTCAGATCCCTTTTTCCAAGATGCCCATCCTTGGAAGATTGCCTTGAGCGTGGCCCTGGTTGCTGTGGTTGCTCTCCTTATTATCACTGTTTACCTATTTAAAACTAAAGGTACCATCCTGGGTTTGGGGGCAGGGGAAGGGGCTGGGCAGCCATCCTACTCAGCCACCTCTGGTCCTGAGGGATGAGGGGATTGAGAAACACCAGGATGGAACCAGAGTCTTGTCCTGGTGTCTCAGGCACATGTTTGGTGCCAGGGAACATAAAACCCCACTGCCTTAACTTGTGTCAGAGAAGAAAAGAAAGCTTTGTTCTCCCAGAAGAAGGCAAGGAAGGAAGTTGGCATTAAAGCAGCATCAGCTGCTCCTCTGCCCCAGCACAGAAAGGGAGCAATAATTGGCCTTGACCTGCAAAGAATCCCTGGCAGTTTGGGGGGCCTGGCAGGGCCTCCTTTCCTTCGGAATATCCCTCTGATGGGAGATGATGCAGAGGAATAAAGGGAACTGAAATCCTCTCTTTCTCCCTGGCAGGAGATGGGGCCGCTGGGTCGTGCGGGCGCTGCAGCACGTCCAGGCCCCGTGGCCCTTCTGCCCTGGGGGGGCTGTAACTCCTCCTGGGGGTCCATCATTTTTAAATTGTTTTCATTTCTTACTTTTCTTCACAGGAAAGCTGCAGAAAGAAATAGGTAAGCTTTACTTTCCACTGTCCCCAGTTTCCTGCCTGGGGTCCATCAGTGCTTGTTGGAGGGGATGAGTTTCTAAATTATTTGCATTTCTTTCTTTCTTCACAGGAAAGAAGCAGAAAGAAATAGGTAAGCTTTATTTTCCATTGTCCCCAGTTTCCTGCTGGGGGTCCATCACTGCTCTTAGGAGGGGATGAGTTTCTAAATTATTTGCATTTCTTTCTTTCTTCACAGGAAAGCTGCAGAAAGAAATAGGTAAGCTTTACTTTCCATTGTCCAGAAACTGGAGAACTCTTCCAATGGTAGAATTCATGGGTCACATTTCTGGAGGACATGAGGAAGGGAAATGCTTTGGCCAGTGGCTGCATACCATGTGAATTAATTTGTTAAATGCTGTTGTAATTTTCAGGAAAATAATTGCAGAACCAATGCAAGTGGGAATAGATGTTGTAGCAACAATAACTTGGCTTTTCAAAGTGCTCTCAACGTTCTTCCCAAGCCTGGAGGAAGCTTTGGGGTAGCACATTTCATTGTGCAGGGGCCTCAGCTGTTCTGAGCAGTGCAGAGCACAAGCACAGGGCCCTTAGGGAGCACTGCAGGGGACATTTCACCCCACGCTCCTCCCTTGGTGCTGCAAAGCTGCCCCTTCAGCGCTGCCCTGGAGCTGGAGCCCGTGCTCAGGTCTCCAGCAGCACGGTCTGATCTCTGCCCACAGCGGGCTCAGGGAGGGTGGGTGAGACCCCCAAAGTCTTGGGAAGACAGGTCCTGAGGAGCTCCTGGGCTGCAGCTTTTCCCTTGGGAGCAATTTCAGCCTCCTCCCTATATCCCACAAGTCTGTCCTGGAAAAGGATTTTTTGCAGCCTGTGGAGGGTGTTTGGTTCATTTGGGCTTTTTTCTCTCACTTTTAATGTGTGAAGTGAACCAAAAACTGGTTCACTTTGTGGTTCACTTGGTGACGGGTGGAAGGAGAGAGAGTGAATTTGGGAATCCAAAATTCAAGGTGACTGAAGATGGTGCCTGGGGATGGGATCGGGTGGGAGCAGCAGTAGCAGTGGCAGGGTGGGAGTGCCCTGGTGCCCTTGGAGATGAGGGACCTGCCAGAGATCATTTCCTGCCCCCAGGTTGAGCAGGACAAGCTGCCCCATGGGCGGGGGAGCAGAGCTGCAGGCTGGGGGTGGGACAGGGCTTTGCACTGCTCAGCCTTGGCACAAACCCGCCCTCCAGCCCGTGCAGGGGGTCCCAGGAGAGGGCAGACAGGGGATGGCCAAATCAATGGCCCACAACCCATTTGTGCTGCTTTCTCTTCCTTTTCAGAGGAACAAGCCCAGGAACTCGGTGAGTATCATTCTCTTCTGTTTGTGGGAGTCTTCTCAGTTGGGCATTTTTTCTCCCCTGTGTTTTTCACGTGTGCCCTCGTTTTGAGCACAGAACAAATACAGAACTTGTTTCAGAAACATTCTTTTCCATTGGTCTCTGTGTGGTTTTAGGCTCTTCCCTGTAACTGTTCTGTACTAAGAAGAAAATTCCTTCAGTTCTCAAAGTCCAAACTCACCATAAATGCATGTCTCAGTCAGGTCAGGCAGCGTGATTGGATTTGTAGGAAATGGGTGGAGCCTTTCCATGTAGTCAGACACTGAAGTTTTGAAGCAACTCGCTGTGAGATGACTTTGACAAAGATAACAACAATTCAGAAAATGTGCACCTCCACTGGCATATCATTCCCCTGAGCTAACCCAGCCCCAGTGTGTTCCATTGCCTCTGACCTGTGGTTTTGGTGTTTTTTTTAAAGCCTGGAGAAGACATGCAGTGCCCATAGAAGAAGGTAACTAAGTCTGATGTTTCCTGGTGCTGAATCATCTTGCCTGCTTTAATGGCCCTTCCTGGCAGTTCCCCTCCTGCAAGTGATGCTGCTGGGACCAGGCATGCTTCTGCTGAGCCTCCCTTTCCTTTGGTGCATGTCCCACTTTCAGGCAAATCTGGAGGATCCTTGTCCTCGGTGAGCTGTGCACAATTCTTCCTCCTGGAGCTCTGCTGATGATCTTCTTCCCTCTCTGCTTCCTCTCTTCTCTCTGCTGCAGTGTCTCTTCCTTGCACTGCTGTTGTCACCTCGTGCACCTTGCCATGCCACACTCTGCCAGCTCTCCCTCCCCCCCTGCTTCTTCCTTAGGCAGCCCCAGCAAAGATGTGTCCTGGGCCGAGCTCTGCCCTGATGTGTTGATTCCATCTCTCCTGCAGGGAACGTGGTTCTGGATCCACACACAGCCCACTGTGAGCTTGTCCTGTCTGACAATGGCAAAAGGGTGACACGAGTTGACACACGACAGGACATCCCCGACAGCCCTGAGAGATTTAACGTGTGCCACTGCGTTCTGGGCTGTGAGGGCTTCACCTCGGGGAGACACTACTGGGAGGTGGAGGTGGAGAATGCAGGAGGATGGATTGTGGGGATTTTTAGAGAAGATATGAGAAGGAAGGGTTATATTGAGCTCAAACCAGAGGAAGGCATCTGGGCAGTGGGGAAACACACAGTCATGAAAGCTTTCACCTCCCCTAGTCCCACTCAATTTTCTGAAATCAAGGCTCCCAGGCGGATCCGGGTCTCTCTGGATTATGAAATGGGACTGGTGGCATTTTTCAGTGTTGATGAGGGGATTCCCATCTTCGGGTTTCCACGGGTATCATTTGGGGGGAAAAAAGTCCACCCTTGGGTCTCTCTAGGTCCTGAGACATGTCTGAAAATGTGGCCCTGATGAAGAGGTGGCAGTAAGAGAAGGGTCTCCAAGGGTGGAGATCTCGTTACCTCTCTGCACCTCTCTTCCATGCTGCATCTCTCCAAGATCTTTCTCTGAGGCCAGACATACTGTTCTGCTCCCAGTGCAGATCAGTGGGAGAGGCCATGGCCAAGACCTTGTGTTATGAGAGCACCTCACATCATTTCCAGGTGTGGGGAAAAGGGACTTTCTCTCCTGCTTCTGAGGGTGTTCCTTACAGATGGAGGGTGGAACCATTGCTTCCTTGTCTCAGGCTCAGTGAGCATTTGACATGTAAACCACCCTCTCTCTGTACACTTCTCTTATTCGTGTTGTTGCTGTTCCTGTTGGTTTTATGGTATCATTGCTGTTTCCAGGGAATTGTTCTTCTCTCCACCCATGATCTTTGCCTTTTGTGCTCTCAACCAGAGGTGGTGGCAGGGGGAGTGAGCAGCATCTGCTTTGGGAGGGTCTGGATGGGAGCACTTGATTGGGGAGCACCATTCCTAAAACACCACACATGCTTTCACAGCAGATCCTCCATTCCATGGAGATCCAGCAGGCCTGGACCTTCCCAAGGGAAGGCTTCACCCCAAGAGAACTGGTAAGGAGGGAGACTTCAGTGCAGGTGGTGGGTTTGTGGCCTAAACTCAGCTCTTGAAAGAAACCTCCAAGACCAAAGTTGTGAGTTTGAGAAGCCAGGCCTTCTTTTATCAGGGTGCACTGAAGTGACTCCAGCACGCCGGGTGCCCTGGGAATCAGTTCCCAAAGTGCACCCAGAGGGATCCTCACCACAGCTCTGTGATAGTTTTCACACCGGGCCTTCCTGGAGACCAGCTTGTAACCAGGAAGGAACTAGGAAGGTGACCCAGGAAGTATTCCATGCTCTTCCTTCATGTCACCTGGGGTATCAATAAGGCAGAGATAAGAGGGTTCTCTCTCTTCCTTTGCGGCGAGGTTCGAGAACGGTGGGTGCCTGTCTTGGTCTTGCTCATGTGGAGCTGAGGCCCACAGTGACTGCTGTTGTCTGCCCCGCGTGAGGGGACAGTGCTGGGCCGCGTCCAGCTGTCCTGCTTCTCTCAAGGGAAGTGGGGAGATTTTGCCAGTTCTTCAGTTTGCTGGTTACCGGGTTTTTAGATTGTGTAGACCTGTTTTGATTCTGTCCCTTTTCATCCTTTTTTTGTCCTTTTTTCCCTTCTCCCTTCCCTTTAGGAAGCTCTTTGGGGTTTCTGGGGTTATAGGTATATAGTATTCTCATGGTATATAACTGTTTAATATGTAAAATATATTTTTGCTATAGCTTTGGCTGTTTGGTTTTTTTTCTCCCCTCTCTGGGAAGCAAGGCTCTGTTGTTGAGTGTTGGAGATTTGGTGGGAAGCCAGCTCCAAACTTGCACAAGCTGATATGTCAGTATGACACGATTCTTCCTGTTTTGTTCCCCACATTCCTGTTCCATACTCGTGGCATTTCTCAACACTTCTTAGCATGCATACATGTCCTATTAAGGTCTCTGAGGGGCTTCATTGGGGATCTCTGGTGGTCATCTGTGTCTGGAGCCCCCAAAGTTCTGAGTGACTGCCTTATGACCTTCTTTAAGACAATACCCCTGGTTCTACATCAACCCAGCATCGCCTGCTCGGCTGCTTCAGCTCCTTTCTTCATTGATTCCCCACCTTGCTTGGCTGCTTTCTTCCAATCAAAGCACAGGAATTTTCTCTGGGACCTTCTGCTGCAAACACTATGAGTTCTTGTTCCATCTCTAAACCCCAAGATCCCGTTGCAACAAGTGCCCAGCCCCTCCTCCTGGAGAAAAGGTGTGCACAGGTTGATGATGTGTTCTGTCAGGAGCAGGGAAGAGTTCAAAGGCTGTGCAGTATTAGAGGAGCTGAGGTGGATGCAGGTGGGTGGGTTTAGAACCAGGTTTCTGGGACCGTCAGCACTGAGAACAAGGCACCTCAGACCTGGTGGCCCACAAAAGCAGGACTCTGCTTCAGTCTCCACCCTTCAGCATCACCACCAAACCCAGACTCAACACTTTAACAGCTGTAGACAGCCCTGAGCAAGGTCTGTCTGCCAGGAGAAAGTGCAGCAGCAGAACACAGCAGACCCCCTAAAAGAAAGGATGAGTGCTCCTAGTGGGGGACTGCGTTAAGGGCCACTGAGGCACTCATCTGCCAGCCCTGCAGGGAGTCACCAGAGGTCTCCCCCCTTCTGGCAGCTGAGCTCAGAGAGGTTGCTGAGAGGGTGCCACAACCTGTCAAGAGCACAGACTGCTCTCCACTGCTGCTTTTCCATGTGGCACAAATGACACCCAAGCCAGAAGCTGGGCAGATTGAAGGGAGATTACAAAGCCCTGAGGGTGCAAGTGAACAATATCGGTGTCCAAGTTATCTTTTCCTCCATCTGCCCATCAGAGGAAAGGGGACAGCCAGAAATAGATGTAGAAAGCAAATTAACTTCCACAGCAGAAGATGCATTTTTTCCTCCTGAAGAGATGACAGTTTCCTTCCCTCTTCTCTGCTTAAACTCATCTCTTCCACTCATCTCCTCCACCTCATTCACCAAGGTCTCACTCTCTTCTCTCTCCAGCCTGGATGCCAGCACATGTACAGAAAATCAACAGGAGGGCAGGAAGGATTCCCTGTTCAAAGTGACAATGGCAGGACTCAGAGACTGCCTAAAGATGACAAAGCAGAGAAGCAAGGATGGAAAGGTCACATTATTCCAGCACTTTTTAGACAGTCAGCACTCACCTGCAGGTTGGCTGCAGGAAGGGAGGTTTGGGAGGAGTTGGCAGGTCTTCAGTCTGCTCCCCACTCCCCTGATCTCCTGCTCAGCTCCTGGCTGGACTGAGCTTGCCCAGCACTTGCAGCTTGTTGGAGTGAGCAGAGCACAGTGCAGAGGGGCTGGATGGCCTGGAGAGCACAGCTGGGACTGGGAGTGTGTCTGGGGGACCAGCCCATGGAGCTTCTCCCTCCCCTCCTCTGGGCAATGGCCCCCCTGCCCTGAAGCTTCCAGCCCACGTGTGACCTCATCTAACACTTGGATTTGGCTGCTCTTCTTCCTGCCAGCTGCAGGGGGGTGAAAAGAGCCCCTGAGCACTGCAGGAGCCTGGATCTCCCTGGGCAGGATGCTCAGAGCCCTCCTGGCTCAGCAGCACCACAGGCACCTCCAGCCCGCTGGGAGGGCACTTGGGGACAGCAGGCACAGAGCAGTGGCCCTGCTCTGGGTGTCCAGGCTGCCCACTGGGGCGAGGGAGAGGGCTGGCTCCTGCCCTGGCTCTTTGCCCAGGTTTCTCCTGCTGCCAAGGGGTTCACGGTGGAGATGTTTGCAGGGCATGTGCCGCCTCCATGGCTCAGCTGGTAAATGGGGACAGCACTTGCTGGGCTTTGCAGCACAGCTCTGTATTCTCCAGGCAATTGTTTGTGTGCCCTGGGGCTGATGGCCTCAGCCCCACTTGTAGGGAACTCAGGGGAGTCCACTCTGCTTTGTCCCATCCCTCTGAAAGCCACAAAATCCAGCAGGGTGAGAGGGCAGCTGTTGCCAGGTGGCTCTGCTGCCTGGAGCTGGGAGATGGTCTGGGAAAGCAGGACTGGGGACAGGCTGGCTTGGGAGGAACCACAGAAAAAGACAGAGGCAAAGACACAGACACACAGACACACAGACACAGACACACAGACACAAAGGTTAGGTGTGGGAGGTTACCTTGGCTGAACACCAGGTGTCCACCGAGGCTTCGCTGATTCCTCCCCAGAGAAAAAAAGGGGGGATGGAAAAAAATAAAGTAAAAACTTTATTTCCCAAGAAAGGCAGTTTTATAATTACATGGAGGAAAAAGGAAAAAAACTGACGTAACATTCCAAACACACAGGAAAAGGAAACTAACAGCAAAATTCTACTTTCCACAAGAACTGATGATCCCCTGCCACCAGGAGCTGTTCCCAGCAGCTATCCTGGAAGAGGAGAGCCAGCAGCTTCCTCCTCGCTTTTTTATATCTGAGGTGAGGTAACATGACATGGAATATCTCATTGGTCCATATAGATCAGATGACTTCTCCCAGATCCCTCCCAGGAAAAGGATGTTATTCAGCTAAACAAACCCACTACACACAGACACAGACACAGACACACAGACACACAGACATGCCCAGTCACACCACCAGACAAAGGCACAGGTCCCCTGTGGCACCCACATCACCCCCAGCACAGGCAGCCACGTCCGCTCCTCCTGCAGGGCTGGCAGGGGGGCACTGCTGCAGGTGACCCAGGCCACCCTCTCTGCCTTCCTGTGCCCATCTGCACACACCTCCAGCAGTGGCTCGGCCCATCTGGCCAAGGGGTGCCCCTGTCCCACCCCCGGGCCCTCTGACCCCCCACAGCCAGCTTGATGCTCTCTGCAAACCCGCAGCCCTCACCCACGCAGCCCTCAGGCACCCCACACTTCTGGCACCCCTGACACCAGCAGGGACCCTCAGCCTGACACAGACCCCTGCCTGCCCCTGGGCTCTCCAACTCACTGGCCAGCCAAGCTCAGGGACAGGCTCCGTTGTGCTGGTGACCAGTCCCTTTTCCACCCTTTTGGCCTCTCCCCTGCCTTGTCCTCCCCGACTCCTTCCACTCCACATGGCTTTAGTGCTCACACCTTTCTGCTGACACCCTCAGGTCTCTGGGACCCCTGGCTTCATCCCCAGCTTTCATCCCCAGCTGTGCAGAGGTACAGTAGAAAAGCCAGGCTGGATCTCCCTGGAGTGACACCTCTGGATCTGTGATCCCAGTGATCAGCACCAGTGAGGAGCTTGGCTCATTACACTTCTTTCTGCTGTCCTTTGCTGTACACATCTGTGTCACTGGACCCATCCCTTGCTGCTTCCCTCTTTGCCTTGTCCCCCCTTTTGGTCACGTCCCTGATCAGCTCCCTTTGCCCCAGCAGGTGCCCCCAGGCCTGACTGGGCTGGGAGGGTGTGGAACCCACAGGGCTGAGCGCCCACGGGCACTGCCTTTGCCTCCCTCAGGGCAGCAGCTTTGCCTCAACCAACCCCCCTCCATGGCCTTGCCTCTGGGCTGCCAATTGCTTTTAAGCAAGAGTGAAGCTGCTGCTGCTGGGCTTTGCTCCCACCCACTGCCTCTGGGGGTGAATCCCGGCTCCATCACCTCCCTCCTGCCCAAATGGCCTCTGGGCTCATGCCAGGGATGTGCAAAGTGCTGCCACCTCTGTCCCCTCCTGAGCCCAGGGAGCAGCCCTGGAGAGCCCCTGCAGCAGGGCTGTGCCTGGGCATGCTGCCAGAAGGGCATGTTCACAGAAAAAGCATTGTCAAAACCCCCAGATTACTCAACAACTTTCATTTTTGAGCAAGGCAGCGCAGGAGGAAATGGGACAGGCTGGGACAGGGTGACGATTTGCTTTGGTTTCCGGACAGCACAGTTGGGATCAGGGGACCCCTCCAAGGTGCCAGGTGACGGCCAAGCAGCTCCTGCTCCAGTCCAGAGTCCAGGAAAGAACCCGGGTCTCCAGGTACGTGGCATCTTTTGGGAAAGCTGGGATGGAAATCGCCCTCTGCCGTCCGCCAGAACCGGACACAGTTTCCACTTCCCGTCAGCAAAGTGGAACCAAGTCAGTGGCAAAAAGGGGGGTGGGTGGGAGAGCAGAGCAGAGCCAGGTCCTGTCTTGGCTGGGCCTTGGATTAGTGTTTGGACTCTTTGGCTTCCCTTGCTCCAAGGCCTTCTCCCACTCTCAGGGAGGTGCAGGCAATGAGTCCTGACTCGCTCAGGGTTTGTCCTTCTCCTCCTGCCCCTGTGCATCTCTTTCTTAAGGCTGGATCAGAAAAGCCAGGGTTCCATAGGAAAACAACTGTCCCTTTCTACTGGAATTGGATGAGATGGTGCAGCTTGTCCTTTGCTTTCCCATGGGAAATTCCCACCACTTTTGATCCCAGTCAGGTCCTTTGCCTATAAAGCACTAACCAAAGTCAGTCTGATGAGGGAAAATTGATTTCAACCTTGGGCATCCAAGTTTCTTCCCTCAACATTCCCAAAAGGGATGAAAGCAGCAATGAACCCCTTGCAAAGTGAATTCATCCTGCTTGGTTGGTTGGTTTGATTGTTTTAGGTTCCCTTGTTTCTCTTCCCTTTTGCCCTTGCCCTCTCCTTCCCCATCTCCAGGTTGTGCTCCAGGGAGGAGGATGCTCTGTGGTTCCCCCATCCACTGCTCTCTGCCGGTTTTTGTCATTTCCACTTTAGTTTTCCAAGTTCCTCAGGGGCACTCAGGTAAGAATCCCCCTGTTCTTGCTGGATGCTGTGCCATGGCTTCCAGCTGGAATATCTTGCTGGTTGCCAGTGCAGCAGCTCGCTGGGAACAGCAGAGCAGAGAGCAGGGTCAGGCCCTTTCCTTTGCTGTTTGGTGCCCAGGCCGTGCTGCAGGGCAGGGTCCCTGTGCCAGCTGCCCTCAGCCCCTCGTCTGCCCCGGCACAGGGACGCTGCCAGCGCCATGGCCCGGCCCGGCAGCACCCCAACCACGCGCAGCAGCCGCTGCTGTGTCCCAGCTCAGCTGCCTCAGCAAACTCACACTTCTCTCTTCTTCCTACGGGGTCTCTCCCAGCTCCACTCACCGTCACTGCACCCCCCGGCCCCATCACCGTGGCCAAGGGCGAGGACGTGGTGCTGCCCTGCAGCTTCTCCCCGGGGCAGAATGCACAGGACACGGAGGTGACCTGGTTTCGGGAGCAGTTCTTGCCCTTTGTGCATCGCTACAAGTTGGGCCAGGACCAGTTTGGGGAGCAGATGGTTCAGTACCAAGGGCGCACTGAGCTGGGGAAGGACGGCCTTGCCAAGGGCAGCGCGGACTTGAGGATCTTCCACGTCCAACTCTCTGACACAGGGAATTACACCTGCTTTGTTCAACGTGGCTCAGATTACAACGACGCTCTGGTGGAGCTCAAGGTGACAGGTCTGTAGTTTGTGTCCCTGGTACCTCTAATTTACTTGCTCATAGCCAGTGCTCTTGTTCCCTGTCCTGCCCAGAAACAGTCTCAGGTGGTTGCTTTGGAAATAGAGTTTTATAGTCCCTTGGTGTAAAACATCAAGAATGTTTCAGAGATGCAAAATTGCCCACTGAGCAGCCATAAGGAACTCATTAAATACTTCCACCTTCAGAAGTGTTTTTGATATGGTTTTCTTCATAAAAGTGGGTGTAAGAAAAAAAATCTCTCTTTGGGTAATAAGGGAAGAATATTGAGATGCTTTCATGTTTTAATATCCAGGCCAGTGCATTATTTTGCTGCAGTAGTGGCCTTCAGACCAAATCTCTCTGTTCCATGAAAGAGACTGCAAGAAATGTCCTGACTCAGGTGACATTTGTCTGAAAACAATCTGGGATTTGTCTCTGTCAGTTTATCCACATCAGGGAGAGAAACAGCCCAAGCAGGTTATCCCCCCGATATCCAGGAGCCCGCAGGGTCAGCCGGGGTCTCTCTCTTTGCCCGCAGCCAGCGGCTCTGCCCCGCTCATCGCGCTGGAGCGCTACGAGCACGGGGGGATCCGGGTGGCCTGTCGCTCTGCCGGCCGGTACCCACGGCCCCGGGTGCTGTGGCACGATCCCCACGGGCGCCGTCTCCCGTCCCTCTCGGAAAACGCTACCCAGGACAAGAACGGGCTCTTTGCAGCTGAGAGCAGCATCATCCTCACCAGGGCTGGGAACCAGGAACTCTCCTGCTCGGTGCAGCACCTCCCGCACACACCAGAGCAGGGACCGGCCCTTTACGTCTCAGGTGAGTCGAGGATGGGGCACGGCCCTGCCGACGGGCCCCACGGAGCTGTGCTGGGCACAGCACCCCCAGGCCCCTGGCAGGACACGTGCTCAGCGTGTCAAGGCCATTTCCATCCCACCTGTGCAAACGGCCGCGGCTTTCGGCAGCGTTGGTGCAGGAGTGCTGCCAAAACCCACCGGGGCCGTCTGCAGGGGCCGGTCAGGGGGCAAAGGAACAACCCTCCCTGTGGCAGAGTTTATACAGACCCCTGGCTGAAAGAAGCACATTCCTAACCCTGGAGCTAAATCAATTTGGCACTGGTGATTGGGTTTGGGGCTGGGAATATATCAGAGCAGAGATACAATGATGAACTGCATTAACCATACACCAAAGGGCACTGCAGCAGCACGACCTTTCCAACTCCACCCTGCTCCTCTTGGAGTTTAGAAATTAAAAAGTTCTGGAGACTTTATTTCCTGGGGAACCAATACCTTTCTCCTGGTGATGCTGTTCTGCACTGGAGTGTTGCTCTTGATGCACATGTCACCCTATTTGTGAGTCTATGTTGCCTAAGGAAATATAATATTTATTTTTTCCCAAAGGAGAAGAAAGCATGATTTAATGAGAAATCACTTGGTTAGAAATCCATCTTCCCTTTAAAAATCCTCCACAAAATGTCACCAACCTCAGACAGGTGCGAAATTGCCAAAATGGATGCTTTTTTAAAGTCATTTTTTGCCCTTTTGTGGTGTACAGTCTGGTTTTCACACTCAATGGGATTCTGATGGAATGACCTTGCATGAAATAGAAATAATCTCCTTTCAATTGCTCCTTGCCCAGTAACCTCCCTTTGGGGATTTTATTTTTCAGATCCCTTTTTCCAATGTGCCCATCCTTGGAAGATTGCCCTGGGCCTGGTCCTGGTTGCTGTGGCTGCTCTCCTTATTATCACTGTTTATCTATTTAAAACTAAAGGTACCATCCTGGGTTTGGGGGCTGGGGAAGGGGCTGGGCAGCCATCCTACTCAGCCACCTCTGGTCCTGAGGGATGAGGGGGTTGAGAAACACCAGGATGGAACCAGAGTCTTGTCCTGGTGTCTCAGGCACATGTTTGGTGCCAGGGAACTTAAAAACCCACGGCCTTAACTTGTGTCAGAGAAGAAAAGAAAGCTTTCCTCTCCCAGAAGAAGGCAAGGCAGGAAGTTGGCATTAAAGCAGCATCAGCTGCTCCTCTGCCCCAGCACAGAAAGGGAGCAAGAATTTGCCTTGACCTGCAAAGAATCCCTGGCAGTTTGGGGGGCCAGGCAGGGCCTCCTTTCCTTCTAGAGATGGAGGAAGCTTTGGGGTAGCACATTTCACTGTGCAGGGGCCTCAGTTGTTCTGAGCACTGCAGAGCACAGGCACAGGGCCCTTAGGGAGCACTGCAGGGGACATTTCACCCCACGCTCCTCCCTTGGTGCTGCAAAGCTGCCCCTTCAGCGCTGCCCTGGAGCTGGAGCCCGTGCTCAGGTCTCCAGCAGCACGGTCTGATCTCTGCCCACAGCGGGCTCAGGGAGGGTGGGTGAGACCCCCAAAGTCTTGGGAAGACAGGTCCTGAGGAGCTCCTGGGCTGCAGCTTTTCCCTCATGAGCAATTTCAGCCTCCTCCCTATCCCAACAAGTCTGTCCTGGAAAAGGATTTTTGACAGCTTGTGAGGGGTGTTGGCTTCATTTGGGTTTTGTCTTTCACTTTTAATGTGTGAAGTGAACCAAAAAGTTGTTCACTTTGTGGTTCACTTGGTGATGGGTGGAAGGAGAGAGTGAATTTGAGAATCCAAAATTCAAAGTGACTGAAGATGGTGCCTGGGGATGGGATCGGGTGGGGGCAGCAGTAGCAGTGGCAGGGTGGGAGTGCCCTGGTGCCCTTGGAGATGAGGGACCTGCCAGAGATCCTTTCCTGCCCCCAGGTTGAGCAGGACAAGCTGCCCCATGGGCGGGGGAGCAGAGCTGCAGGCTGGGGGTGGGACAGGGCTTTGCACTGCTCAGCCTTGGCACAAACCCGCCCTCCAGCCCGTGCAGGGGGTCCCAGGAGAGGGCAGACAGGGGATGGCCAAATCAATGGCCCACAACCCATTTGTGCTGCTTTCTCTTCCTTTTCAGGGAAACAAGCCCAGGAACTTGGTGAGTATCATTCTCTTCTCTTTATGGGAGTCTTCTCAGTTGGGCATTTTTTCTCCCCTGTGTTTTTCACGTGTGCCCTCGTTTTGGGCACAGAACAAATACAGAACTTGTTTCAGAAACATTCTTTTCCATTGGTCTCTGTGTGGTTTTAGGCTCTTCCCTGTAATTGTTCTGTACTAAGAAGAAAATTCTTTCAGTTCTCAAAGTCCAAACTGACCATAAATGCATGTCCCAGTCAGGACAGGCAGCGTGATTGGATTTGTAGGAAATGGGTGCAGCCCTTCCATGTAGTCAGACACTGAAGTTTTGAAGCAACTCCCTGTGAGATGACTTTGACAAAGATAACAACAATTCAGAAAATGTGCACCTCCACTGGCATATCATTCCCCTGAGCTAACCCAGCCCCAGTGTGTTCCATTGCCTCTGACCTGTGGTTTTTGTGGTTTTTTTAAAGCCTGGAGAAGACACGCAGTGCCTATAGAAGCAGGTAACTAAGTCTGGTCTTTCCTGGTGCTGAATCATCTTGCCTGCTTTAATGGCCCTTCCTGGCAGTTCCCCTCCTGCAAGTGATGCTGCTGGGACCAGGCATGCTTCTGCTGAGCCTCCCTTTCCTTTGGTGCATGTCCCACTTTCAGGCAAATCTGGAGGATCCTTGTCCTCGGTGAGCTGTGCACAATTCTTCCTCCTGGAGCTCTGCTGATGATCTTCTTCCCTCTCTGCTTCCTCTCTTCTCTCTGCTGCAGTGTCTCTTCCTTGCACTGCTGTTGTCACCTCGTGCACCTTGCCATGCCACACTCTGCCAGCTCTCCCTCCCCCCCTGCTTCTTCCTTAGGCAGCCCCAGCAAAGATGTGTCCTGGGCCGAGCTCTGCCCTGATGTGTTGATTCCATCTCTCCTGCAGGGAACGTGGTTCTGGATCCAGACACAGCCCACTGTGAGCTTGTCCTGTCTGACAATGGCAAAAGGGTGACACGACTTGACACACGACAGGACATCCCCGACAGCCCCGAGAGATTTAACCCGTGGCGCTGCGTTCTGGGCTGTGAGGGCTTCACCTCGGGGAGACACTACTGGGAGGTGGAGGTGGAGGATGCAGGAGGATGGGCTGTGGGGGTGTCTAGAGAAGATGTGAGAAGGAAGGGTGATATTGAGTTTAAACCAGAGGAAGGCATCTGGGCAGTGGGGAACTGGGCAGGGCACTTCCAAGCTCTCACCTCCCCTGATCGCATTCCCCTTCCCAAAATCAAGGTTCCCAAGCAGATCCGGGTCTCTCTGGATTATGAAATGGGACGGGTGTCATTTTTCAGTGTTGATGAGGAGATTCCCATCTTCGCATTTCCACTGGCATCATTTGAGGGGATAAAAGTCCACCCTTGGGTCTGGCTGGGTCCTGGGACATGTCTGAAAATATATCCCTGATGAATAGGAAGGAGGAAGACAAGGCTTTTTTAAGGGACCTGGGAAGTTCAGACTCACAGTAAGACTGAGGTTGGAAGGAACTTGTGGAGGTTTCTGTGGCAACCACCTGCTCAGAGCAGGGTTAACCTCAGGGCTGCCTTCAGTGTCTTTGGACCTTGTTCAGCTGAGTGTTGCAGGGTCTCCAAGGGCAAAGGTCTCATTACCTCTCTGGTCCAATGCTGCATCTCTCTCAAGGGTAAAACCCAACCCTTTCTGTGTGATCAGAATTTCTCCAGTCTCGACCCATGGTTGTTGTGTCTCATCCTCTCTCTCTCCCTCTTGAACACCAATTACACCGAAAAGGGATCACTTTGTAAATGTACACAATAAAGTTCCTTTGGTGGCATTTGTCTGTATGTGTGTCAGTACCAAGGCTGTCCCTGAGGGATATTCCCACCTCCCTGTAGCCTGTGGGAGTCGCAGGCACTTTGGAGAAAAGGGTTCAGTGCATCCTGCAGGAGCCCAGGAAGTCAGGCCAGCGGGGCTGGTCCATGGCTGTGCTTTTCCCCACACCTGCCAGCAGCACAAACCCCGGGGATGAGCTCACCTGTGCCCTGGGCATGCCCAGCACTGCCAGATGGGCAACTCCAGATGATTTTGCTGTAGGGGAAGCTGCCCCCTGCAAGTGGAGGAGGGCAGTAAGTGCTTTCTCTGAGGCCAGACATGGCCAGCAGGACTCGGGTTGTGACCATCCCCCTGTGCTGGGCCCTGGTGAGACCCCACCTCAAAGAAAGACATTGAGGGGCTGGAGTGGGTCCAGAGAAGGGAATGGAGCTGGGAAAGGGTCTGGAGCACCAGCAGCAGCTGAGGGAGCTGGGGGGGCTCAGCCTGGAGGAAAGGAGGTTCAGGGGGGACCTTCTTGCTCTCCACAACTCCCTGACAGGAGGGTGGAACCAGGTGGGATCAGTCTCTGCTCCCAGGGAACAAGGGACAGGACAAGAGGAAGCAGCCCCAAATTGCACCAGGAGAGGTTTAGGTTGGATATTAGGGAAAACTTCCTCCCAGAAAGGGTTGTCCAGCCCTGGCACAGCTGCCCAGAGCAGTGGTGGAGTCACCAACCTTGCAGGGCTTTAAAATCTGTGTGGATTTGGCTCTTGGGGACATGCTTAGTGGTGGGCTTGACATTGCTGGGTTGGTGGTTGGACTTGATGATCTTAGAGGGCTTTTCCAACATAAATGATTCTATGTATAACACTGTTGTGGTTGTTTTCTACCAGCCACCTGATCAGGAAGTCGCTGAGGCCTTTTACAGAAAGCTGGAAATGGCCTCAGGGTCACGGGCACTCATCTCATGGGGGACCTCAACCTTCCTGATATCAGCTGGGGGGACAGCACAGGAGGTCCCTGCAGGGTGAGGAGATCTCTCTGTGCCACGGGTGGTGGAGGAGTTCACAAGGAGAGGTGCTGCTGGTCCTTGTACTAACCAGCACAGAGGGACTGGTTGGGGTGTGAAGGCTGGGGACAGCCTTGGCTGCAGTGACCATGCACAGTGGAACTCAGGATCCTGCATGGAGGAAGCTGGGCCATAAGCAGGATTCCAGCCCTGGGCTTTATGAGAACTAATGGCCCCGTGACTGCACACAGATCTCTGATCCTTCCCCAGGCTCATTCCCCAAGCTCTGTGTGTTGTCTGCAGCCAGTTCAGGGGGAATGGAGCAGGCAGGTTTCCCAGGAGGGCGGCAAGAGGATGCCCCACAGCCATACACACCCCTGAGGTGCCTGGCCTTCTTTTCTCATCTTGGGAGGCCAGGAGGGAACATTTGTCACTGCTCTGGATGTCCTGGATTATTCCCAGCTGGATGTGAAGGGAGACACAAGGCCCCTTTGGATCCTGAGCCCCTGAGACCTTCCAATTAAAGCCCAGCCCTCCAAGTTGGCCATCCTGCTGCCCAAGGTTCCCTGGCCTCTTCTAGGCACATGGATCCCATGCCTCCCTAACAGACTACAGTCATCAAAGAGTGTCCCGTTGTCATAAAAGTCCAAACCCTCCTGACAGCACCAGCCACAAAGTCAGAAGTTGATTTGCTTTCAACATCTGTTTCTGGCTGTCCCCTTTCCTCTAATGGGCAGATGGAGGAAAAGATACCTTGGACACCGATATTGTTCACTTGCACCCTCAGGGCTTTGTAATCTCCCTTCAATCTGCCCAGCTTCTGCCTTGGGTGTCATTTGTGCCCCATGGAAAAGCAGCAGTGGAGAGCAGTCTGTGCTCTTGACAGGTTGTGGTACCCTCTCAGCAACCTCTCTGAGCTCAGCTGCCAGAAGGGGGGAGACCTCTGGTGACTCCCTGCAGGGCTGGCAGATGAGTGCCTCAGTGGCCCTTAACGCAGTCCCCCACTAGGAGCACTCATCCTTTCTTTTAGGGGGTCTGCTGTGTTCTGCTGCTGCACTCTCTCCTGGCAGACAGACCTTGCTCAGGGCTGTCTACAGCTGTTAAAGTGTTGATTCCGGGTTTGGTGGTGATGCTGAAGGGTGGAGACTGAAGCAGAGTCCTGCTTTTGTGGGCCACCAGGTCTGAGGCACCTCATTCTCAGTGCTGACGGTCCCAGAAACCTGGTTCTAAACCCACCCACCTGCATCCACCTCAGCTCCTCCAATACTGCACAGCCTTTGAACTCTTCCCTGCTCCTGACAGAACACATCATCAACCTGTGCACACCTTTTCTCCAGGAGGAGGGGCTGGGCACTTGTTGCAACGGGATCTTGGGGTTTAGAGATGGAACAAGAACTCATAGTGTTTGCAGCAGAAGGTCCCAGAGAAAATTCCTGTGCTTTGATTGGAAGAAAGCAGCCAGGCAAGGTGGGGAATCAATGAAGAAAGGAGCTGAAGGAGCCGAGCAGGCGATGCTGGGTTGATGTAGAACCTGGGGTATTGTCTTAAAGAAGGTCATAAGGCAGTCACTCAGAACTTTGGGGGCTCCAGACACAGATGACCACCAGAGATCCCCAATGAAGCCCCTCAGAGACCTTAATAGGACATGTATGCATGCTAAGGAGTGTTGAGAAATGTCATGAATATGGAACAGGAATGTGAGGAACACAAAATGAATAATTATGTCATGCTGACATATCGGCTGTAGTGAGGATCCCTCTGGGTGCACTTTGGGAACTGATTCCCAGGGCACCCGGCGTGCTGGAGTCACTTCAGTGCACCCTAATAAAAGAAGGCCTGGCTTCTCAAACTCACAACTTTGGTCTTGGAGGTTTCTTTCAAGAGCTGAGTTTAGGCCACAAACCCACCACCTGCACTGAAGTCTCCCTCCTTACCAGTTCTGCTGGGGTGAAGCCTTCCCTTGGGAAGGTCCATGCCTGCTGGATCTCCATGGAATGGAGGATCTGGTGTGAAAGCATGTGTGGTGTTTCAGGAATGGTGCTCCCCAATCAAGTGCTCCCACCCAGACCCTCCCAAAGCAGATGCTGCTCACTCCCCCTGCCCCCACCTCTGGTTGAAAGCACAAAAGGCAAAGATCATGGGTGGAGAGAAGAACAATTCCCTGGAAACAGCAATGGGATCATAAAACCAACAGTAACAGCAACAACACGAATAAGAGAAGTGTACAGAGAGAGAGTGATTTACATGCCAAATGCTCACTGAGCCTGTGAGCGAGTTTGACCTGGCTTCCCACCAAAATCTCCAATGCTCAGCAAAAGCCCTTCCCCTCCCTCCCCTTTTCAGCAAAGAAAGGAAAGGGAAAAAAATTATAGAAACTGAGAGAAACCAAAACCAACCTAATTATATCAAAATATATGTTTATTTTTACATATGTACAGTTATATACAGAAAAATATTATGTACAACTCCCAAGAAAGGGGAGAGGCGAAGGCAAAAAGGGGAAAAAGGTGCAAAAGGGACAAAAACAAAACAGGTATGCACAATCTAGAAATCTGGTAACTAACAAAATAAAGAACTGTTAAAATCTCCCCACTTCCCTTGAGAGAAGCAGGACAGCTGGACGCGGCCCAGCACTGTCCCCTCACGCGGGGCAGACAACAGCAGTCACTGTGGGCCTCAGCTCCACATGAGCAAGACCGAGACAGGGACCTACCATTCCCAAACCTTGTCGGAAGAGAAGAGAGCGAACTCTCTTATCTACGCCTTTTTATATGTTGGGTTACGGAAAGGAATGATATGGAATACTTCCTTAGATTTCTGACCCCGTTGCTAAGGAAGGCCTAAAATATCCGAGAAACCAACCCACTGCAGCCTGAGACAAGGAAACAACGGTTCCACCCTCCATGTGTAAGGAACACCCTCAGAAGCAGGAGAGAAAGTCCCTTTTCCCCACACCTGGAAATGATGTGAGGTGCTCTCATAACACAAGGTCTTGGCCATGGCCTCTCCCACTGATCTGCACTGGGACCAGAACAGCATGTCTGGCCTCAGAGAAAGGTCTTGGAGAGATGCAGCATGGAAGAGAGGTGTAGAGAGGTAACGAGATCTCCACCCTTGGAGACCCTTCTCTTACTGCCTCCTCTTCATCAGGGACATATTTTCAGACATGTCTCAGGACCCAGCCAGAAGCAAGGGTGGACTTTTTTCCCCCCAAATGATACCCGTGGAAACGTGAAGATGGGAATCCCCTCATCAACACTGAAAAATGCCACCTGTCCCATTTCATAATCCAGAGAGACCCGGATCCGCCTGGGAGCCTTGATTTCAGGAAACAGAGTGGGACCAGGGGAGGTGAAAGCTTTCAAGAATACTGCCCCTTTCCCCACTGCCCAGATGCCTTTCTCTGGTTTAAACTCAATATCACCCTTCCTTTCTGCATCATCTCTAAAAATCCCCATGATCCATTCTCCTGCATTCTCCACCACCTCCACCTCCCAGTAGTGTCTCCCCGAGCTGAAGCCCTCACAGCCCAGAACGCAGCGCCACGGGTTAAATCTCTCAGGGCTGTCGGGGATGTTCTGTTGTGTGTAAGATCGTGTCACACGTTTGCCATTGTCAGACAGGACAAGCTCACAGTGGGCTGTGTCTGGATCCAGAACCACGTTCCCTGCAGGAGAGATGGAATCAACACATCAGGGCAGAGCTCGGCCCAGGACACATCTTTGCTGGGGCTGCCTAAGGAAGAAGCAGGGGGTGAGGGAGAGCTGGCAGAGTGTGGCATGGCAAGGTGCACGAGGTGACAACAGCAGTGCAAGGAAGAGACACTGAAGCAGAGAGAAGAGAGGGAGCAGAGAGGGAAGAGGATCATCAGCAGAGCTCCAGGAGGAAGAATTGTGCACAGCTCACCGAGGACAAGGATCCTCCAGATTTGCCTGAAAGTGGGACATGCACCAAAGGAAAGGGAGGCTCAGCAGAAGCATGCCTGGTCCCAGCAGCATCACTTGCAGGAGGGGAACTGCCAGGAAGGGCCATTAAAGCAGGCAAGATGATTCAGCACCAGGAAAGACCAGACTTAGTTACCTTCTTCTATGGGCACTGCGTGTCTTCTCCAGGCTTTAAAAAAACACAAAAACCACAGGTCAGAGGCAATGGAACACACTGGGGCTGGGTTAGCTCAGGGGAATGATATGCCAGTGGAGGTGCACATTTTCTGAATTGTTGTTATCTTTGTGAAAGTCATCTCACAGCGAGTTGCTTCAAAACTTCAGTGTCTGACTACATGGAAGGGCTCCACCCATTTCCTACAAATCCAATCACGCTGCCTGTCCAGATTCAGACATGCATTTATGGTCAGTTTGGACTTTGAGAACTGAAAGAATTTTCTTCTTAGTACGGAACAATTACAGGGAAGAGCCTAAAACCACACAGAGACCATTGGAAAAGAATGTTTCTGAAACAACTTCTGTATTTGTTCTGTGCCCAAAACAAGGGCACACGTGAAAAACAGAGGGGAGAAAAAATGCCCAACTGAGAAGACTCTCACAAACAGAAGAGAATGATACTCACCGAGTTCCTGGGCTTGTTCCTCTGAAAAGGAAGAGAAAGCAGCACAAATGGGTTGTGGGCCATTGATTTGGCCATCCCCTGTCTGCCCTCTCCTGGGACCCCCTGCACGGGCTGGAGGGCGGGTTTGTGCCAAGGCTGAGCAGTGCAAAGCCCTGTCCCACCCCCAGCCTGCAGCTCTGCTCCCCCGCCCATGGGGCAGCTTGTCCTGCTCAACCTGGGGGCAGGAAAGGATCTCTGGCAGGTCCCTCATCTCCAAGGGCACCAGGGCACTCCCACCCTGCCACTGCTACTGCTGCCCCCACCCGATCCCATCCCCAGACACCATCTTCAGTCACCTTGAATTCTGGATTCTCAAATTCACTCTCTCCTTCCACCCATCACCAAGTGAACCACAAAGTGAACCACTTTTGGGTTCACTTCACACTTTAAAAGTGAAAGACAAAACCCAAATGAACCCAACACCCCTTACAGGCTGCAAAAAATCCTTTTCCAGGACAGACTTGCTGGGATAGGGAGGAGGCTGAAATTGCTCCCAAGAGAAAAGCTGCAGCCCAGGAGCTCCTCAGGACCTGTCTTCCCAAGACTTTGGGGGTCTCACCCACCCTCCCTGAGCCCGCTGTGGGCAGAGATCAGACCGTGCTGCTGGAGACCTGAGCACGGGCTCCAGCTCCAGGGCAGTGCTGAAGGGGCAGCTTTGCAGCACCAAGGGAGGAGCGTGGGGTGAAATGTCCCCTGCAGTGCTCCCTAAGGGCCCTGTGCCTGTGCTCTGCACTGCTCAGAACAGCTGAGGCCCCTGCACAGTGAAATGTGCTGCCCCAAAGCTTCCTCCATCTCTAGAAGGAAAGGAGGCCCTGCCAGGCCCCCCAAACTGCCAGGGATTCTTTGCAGGTCAAGGCCAATTCTTGCTCCATTTCTGTGCTGGGGCAGAGGAGCAGCTGATGCTGCTTTAATGCCAACTTCCTTCCTTGCCTTCTTCTGGGAGAGGAAAGCTTTCTTTTCTTGACAGAAGTTAAGGTCATGGGTTTTTAAGTTCCCTGGCACCAAACATGTGCCTGAGACACCAGGACAAGACTCTGGTTCCATCCTGGTGTTTCTCAACCCCCTCATCCCTCAGGATTAGAGGTGACTGAGTAGGATGGCTGCCCAGCCCCTTCCCCAGCCCCCAAACCCAGGATAGTACCTTTAATTTTAAGTAGATAAACTGCAAAGCAAATCAGAGCGACCACAGCAGCCAGGACCAGGACCAGGGCAATAATCCAAGGATAGATACTTCGTAGAAAGGGATCTGAAAAATTAAATCCCCAAAGGGGAGGTTCCTTTGTGAGTAGCAACAGAAAGGGAATTATTTCTATTTCGTGCAAGGTCGTTCCGTCTGACTCACACTAAGGGTGAGAAAGAGCTCCCGACTCTGCTCAACAAATGGACAAAAAATGACATTAAAAACAATCATTTTTGGAAATTTCATACTTGTCTGAGGCTGATGAAATTTCTCTGCATTGTGTAGGATCTTTAAAGGGAGGATGGATTTCTAATGAAATTCCTTCTGGTTAAATCATGCTTTCTTTTCTTTTGGAAAAAAAACCCCAAAATATCAGATTTCCTTAGGCAATATGGGATCACAAATAGGGTGACATGTGCATCAACAGCAACATTCCAGTGCAGAGCAGCATCACCAGGAGAAAGGTAACGCATCCCCAGGGAGATAAAGTCTTCAGGACTTGTTCATTCCCAAAGAACAAGAACAAGAGTTCCAAAACAAGTGCTGCTGTGGTGGAGCAATATCAAGAACACTTTTGAAGGAAGAAGCATCTTACGAGTTCCTCATGGCTGCTCGGTGGGCAGTTTGACCTCTGTGAAACATTCTTGGTATTTTCAACAAGGGGACTTAATGGGACTGTTTCCAAAGTAACCACCTGAGACTGTCTCTGGGCAGAAGGACAGGGAACAAGAGCACTGGCTGTGAGCAAGTAAATTAGAGGTACCGGGGACACAAACTACAGACCTGTCACCTTGAGCTCCACCACAGCCTCATCATAATCTGAGCCACGTTGAACAAAGCAGGTGTAATTCCCTGTGTCAGAGAGTCGGACGTGGAAGATCCTCAAGTCCGCGCTGCCCTTGGCAAGGCCGTCCTTCCCCAGCTCAGTGCGCCCTTGGTACTGAACCATCTGCTCCCCAAACTGGTCCTGGCCCCACTTGTAGCGATGCACAAAGGGCAAGAACTGCTCCCGAAACCAGGTCACCTCCGTGTCCTGTGCATTCTGCCCCGGGGAGAAGCTGCAGGGCAGCACCACGTCCTCGCCCTTGGCCACGGTGATGGGGCCGGGGGGTGCAGTGACGGTGAGTGGAGCTGGGAGAGACCCCGTAGGAAGAAGAGAGAAGTGTGAGTTTGCTGAGGCAGCTGAGCTGGGACACAGCAGCGGCTGCTGCGCGTGGTTGGGGTGCTGCCGGGCCGGGCCATGGCGCTGGCAGCGTCCCTGTGCCGGGGCAGACGAGGGGCTGAGGGCAGCTGGCACAGGGACCCTGCCCTGCAGCACGGCCTGGGCACCAGCACTGGCAGCAAGGAAGATATTCCAGCTGGAAGCCATGGCACAGCATCCAGCAAGAACAGGGGGATTCTTACCTGAGTGCCCCTGAAGAACTTGGAAAACTAAAGTGGAAATGACAAAAGCCAGCAGAGAGCAGTGGATGGGGGAACCACAGAGCATCCTCCTCCCTGGAGCACAACCTGGAGATGGGGAAGGACAGGAAAAGGGCAAAAGGGAAGACAAACAAGGGAATTTAAAACAACCAAACCAACCAACCAACCAACCAGGATGAATTCACTTTGAAAGGGGTTCATTGCTGATTTCAGCCCTTTCTGGAATGTCGAAGGAAGAAATTTGGATGCCCAAGGTTGAAATCAATTTTCCCTCATCAGACTGACTTTGGTTAGTGCTTTATAGGCAAAGGACCTGACTGGGATCAAAAGTGGTGGGAATTTCCCATGGGAAAGCAAAGGACAAGCTGCACCATCTCCTCCAATTCCAGCAGAAAGGGGCAGTTGTTTTCCTATGGAGCCCTGGCTTTTCTGATCCAGCCTTAAGAAAGAGATGCACAGGGGCAGGACGAGAAGGACAAACCCTGAGCGAGTCAGGACTCATTGGCTGCACCTCCCTGAGAGTGGGAGAAGGCTTTGGAGCAAGGGAAACCAAAGAGTCCAAACACTAATGCAAGGCCCAGGCAAGACACAACCTGGCTCTGCTCTGCTCTCCCACCCACCCCCCTTTTTGCCACTGACTTGGTTCCTCTTTGCTAACGGGACAGGGAAAGCAGAGCTGGTTCTGGCAGATGGCAGAGGGCGATTTCCATCCCATCTTTCCCAAAAGATGCCACGTACCTGGAGATGCTGAGCTCTGTCCTGGGCTCTGGCTGGAGCAGGACCTACTTGACTGTCACCAAGAGTGTTGGAGGGGCGCCCTGATCCCAGTTGAGCTGTCTGAAAACCAAAAAAATTATCACCCCATCCCAGCCTGACACCTGTTTTCTCTTGCACTGCCTCCTGTCAAAAGTGAAAGTTGTTGAGTAATTTGGAGAGTTTTTGATCTGTGCCCTTCTGGCAGCATGCCCAGGCACACCCCTGCTGCAGGGGCTCTCCAGGGCTGCTCCCTGGGCTCAGGAGGGGACAGATGTGGCAGCACTTTGCACATCCCTGGCATAAGCCCAGAGGCCATTTGGGCAGGAGGGAGGTGATGGAGCCAGGATTCACATCCAAAGGCAGTGGGTGGGAGCAAAGCCCAGCAGCAGCAGCTTCACTCTTGCTTAAAAGCAATTGGCAGCCAAGAGGCAAGGCCATGGAGGGGGGTTGGTTGAGGCAAAGCTGCTGCCCTGAGGGAGGCAAAGGCAGTGCCCGTGGGCGCTCAGCCCTGTGGGTTCCACACCCTCCCAGCCCAGTCAGGCCTGGGGGCACCTGCTGGGGCAAAGGGAGCTGATCAGGGCCCTGGCCAAAAGGGGTGACAAGGCAAAGAGGGAAGCAGCAAGGGATGGGTCCAGTGACACAGATGTGCACAGCAAAGGACAGCAGCTCCTGCAGTGCTCAGGGGCTTTATCACCCCCCTGCAGCTGCAGGAGGGAGGGGCCCTGTGGCAGAGCCTGTGCTGCAGACAGGGCTGGGCACTGCAGGAGCTGGAAGAGCAGCCAAATCCAAGTGTTAGATGAGGTCACAGGTGGGCTGGAAGCTTCAGGGCAGGGGGGGCCATTGCCCAGAGGAGGGGACGGAGAAGCTCCATGGGCTGGTCCCCCAGACACACTCCCAGTCCCAGCTGTGCTCTCCAGGCCATCCAGCCCCTCTGCACTGTGCTCTGCTCACTCAAACAAGCTGCAAGTGCTGGGCAAGCTCAGTCCAACCAGGAGCTGAGCAGGAGATCAGGGGAGTGGGGAGCAGACTGAAGACCTGCCAACTCCTCCCAAACCTCCCTTCCTGCAGCCAACCTGCAGGTGAGTGCTGACTGTCTAAAAAGTGCCAGAATAATGTGACTTTCCATCCTTGCTTCTCTGCTTTGTCATCTTTAGGCAGTGTCGGAGTCCTGCCATTGTCACCTTCAACAGGGAATCCTTCCTGCCCTCCTGTTGATTTTCTGTACATGTGCTGGCATCCAGGCTGGAGAGAGAAGAGAGTGAGACCTTGGTGAATGAGGTGGAGGAGATGAGTGGAAGAGGTGAGTTTCAGGAGGGAAGAGGAAGGAGAACTTTCCCCTCTTGAGAGGAAAACACTCCCATCCTGCTTCTGCTTTGAAAGAAGTAGGGGGAAAGCTCCTGGAGCTTGTCCCAGCCTGGGCTTGTCATGGCTTGGGACTTGGTGGCTGCCACACCTTCAGCTGAACTTCTCGTGCTGATCTGTTGAGCCACCACCAGCACCAAAGACACCTGAGGTGACATCCTTGGCCCCTTCCTTTGCATGGAGAAAGAAACAGGATTTGGGACCACAGGTTCTGGGTCTTGGGGTAACATCTCTCCTGGTCTGCACTGGTTTGTGCCCAGACCTGCCTGTTCTGCTCCTGCAGCCCCAGGGACTGCCAGGCTCAGGTCCAGGTGTCTGCACTGCAGATGTGCCCCCAGCCACTGACGTGCATCCTCCCCCAGGGAACGGGGGTCTCCTTGGCCAGGATGTGTGCAAGCTCCTGGGGCAGGGGCAGGACTGGGGCAGCACTGAGGCTGGGGCAGTCCAGGAGGAAGCGGTTTCCCACCCTGGGAAAAGGAACTCACTCTATCCCTTCTCCTGCTGGGGGGGATGCAGCCCTGGGACTGCCTGTTCTGAACAGCTTCTCCTTCTCTGTCCCCAGCCAACGTGACCCTAGACCCAGACACTGCCAACCCCTTCCTCATCCTGGCCGGTGACCAGCGAAGGGTGGGACGGGGGGACGAGTGGACGTCGCTGCCCAACTCCCCCGAGCGGTTCGACACGGAGCCGTGTGTGCTGGGCAGGCAGGGCTTTGCTGAGGGGAGGCACTGCTGGCAGGTGGAGGTGGCTGAGGCAGGGGACTGGTGGGCTGTGGGGGTGGCCCAGGAGTCTGTCAGGAGGAAGGGGGTCCTGAGTTTTACTCCCCGGGAGGGGATCTGGGCCGTGGGGCAGTGGTTTGGACAATACCACGCATTTACTGACCCTGACTGGACCCCTCTGCACCTTGCCCACCTCCCCAGGGCCATCCAGGTCTGCCTGGACTTCAGGGACAAGCAGGTAGCATTTGCTGATGCTGAAAATGAAGCCCCAATCTTTGCTTTCTGCCTGGCCTCGTGTCCTGGGGAGAGGCTGCACCCCTGGCTCTGGGTGGGGATGGGCTCGTGGCTCCAGCTGTGCCCCTGACACGTGGAGGGGGCACGGGGGGCAGGGGAGAGAGTGGAAAAGCAAACACCATCACTGTGGGTCTGGGAACTGGTAGGGTTCTTCTGTGTCCTGCTGGCTTCTCCCCACATGGTTCCTCTGGCCACCAAGCAGAGGACTGGCAGGTCATGGAAGTGGTGCCACCACAGAGCCTCCTTCATCCCACCCAGCCCTCAGCTGGGACTGCAGGGAGAGCACCGAGGCTCGGAGCATGGAGGAGCTTGGTGCCAGGAGGGCCAAGGGCAGGCAGGTGGCACTGAGTGCCAGGGCACTGCAGAACTGCTCTGTCCAAGGCCACGGAAAACACAGCAGGTAGTAAAAGGTGCTGGAGCAGTGCCTCAGGCTTTTTTCTATTGATATGAAGTTAAAAAACCTCTAGCATAGCTGGGTGCTGATGATAACACTTATCTTCCCCACACATCCAAACCTCTCCTTGCCTCCCCCCCACTCGTCACTGGCACGTGTACCAAGCACTTTTCTTGCAGCAGGGCCCTGGGAGCAGCTCTGGGGGCAGCCCAGGAAGGCAGGCATGAAGCTGAGCAGGGTCTGGAGTCCACAGGAGAGGCAATTCCCACAGATCTGCCATTCTCTGATCTCTCCCCATCAAGGTCTCCTTTTCCTCACATAGAACAGACTAGATGAGAATATTCCACTTGGAAGGGACCTATAATGGTCACCTCATCCTGAACCCTGCAGGGCTGACCAAAAGTAAAGCTTGTTACTAAGGCCATTGTCCAATTGCCTCTTAAACACTGACAGGCCTGGGGCACTGACCAGCTCTCGAGGAAGACTGTTCCAGACCACCCTCTTGGTAAAGAAATGCTCCCTCATGTCTAGTTGGAACCTCCCCTGGAGCAGCTTTGAACCATTCCCAGGTGTCCTGTCCCTGGATTCCAGAGCTCAGCACCTCCCTCTCCATGTCCCCTCCTTAGGAAGCTGCAGAGCAACAAGCCACCTTTTCTCCAACTTAGCCACCTTTTCTCCAAAGGAGACAAGCCCAGAGCCCTCAGCTGCACCTCACAGGACAGCACTAGATCTGCTCTGGAGAACTGGTATTTTGCAGGAAAGGACATTTAGAGACATTCCAGACATGGAAAGTTGGGGAGGTCTCATCCCACAGGATCCTGCTAAATCCTGCCCTTAGGAGAGGAGAGGTGAATGTAAGTGAAGGGGAACCTTGTCCTTGGTCCAGCCTGGAATTCCTCCTCAGGCACATTGCTGGTTGGACCCTCTTAGTGCCACCTCAGTTGTCATCTTTGTGGTGGCATCTGGGCACAGGCAAGAGAATTTGCCTCTGTGATCTACTCCAGTAGCTGCAAAGTTGCAGCACTGGGTCAGGCCCAGTTATCTTCCTCCAGAGCCCTGCTCTAACCCTCTTCCAATGTGGCAGGACCAAGACTGGGGAAACCCATGGATCTCTGCTCACAGCAGGGCAATTCCTACCCTCCATGGGCAGGTGACAAGGGGCACAGGCTGGGCACAGGTCACTGGGTGGTGAGCAATTGTACTGGACATGGCTTGCTCCTCTTGGGTTTTATTTTTTTGATTGTGATTACTATTGTCATTAGTATTATTATGTTTTACATTGTTTCAAATATTAAACTGTTCTTATGTCAACCCACAAGTTGTTTTTTTTTCCTTTTTTCCCCCCATCCCACTTTTTGGGGGGGGGGGGGTGTGACCGAGTCACTGTGTGATGTTTAGTTGTCAGATGGGGTTGCACCACAACAGATTTTCATGGCAGAAGGTTTGGAGATGGAGATGGCAGAAGATTTGTAAACTTTGGTTCTGTCCCTTGTCCTGGGAAACACCCCAAAGGAGTTGTTTCACATTGAGGGACACCTGCTTCAATCAAGAAGAAATTCCTTTCTGAAAGCCAGCTCAGGAAAGCTGGATTTTTTAACAGATTGGTGCCCTGGATCCTCTTCACTGAAATTTTGTGGTTTGAAGGGGGAGAAAAGGTTTAATGGGTTCCTGTTTGCTGTACCCCCCCAAAAAAATTAAATATATACAAAAAAATCAACTCTTTGGGAGCTGAGTTGCATAACTGCAGCTTTTTGATTAAAATTGTATAGTTTTGGTGCAATACTACATGAAATCATTCTATTCTAGTATTAGAAATCTACTATTCTAGTATTGCACTGTGAAGACTCAGGGGAGTTTAAATTCATTTCTCTTATGCTACAGGTCTCTGCATTCCAGAGCTACAACAGGTAGGAAGGCTTAAGGAATGCCATGGTCCTTGAAAAGCAAGGCTGGACCCACATGGGCTGTAAGGGCACGTTTGGATTTGGTACATTAGCCAGGCAGCTGGACTGAATGCCCTCCCCATTAAACTCTGTCTCCTTTTCACCCAGTGAGCCCTTTCTCTGGGATTTCTGTTCCTTTTACACTATGTTTTCTCCCCCTCACCCTGGCAGACTGCTGGGTGGCAGCAGTTTTATTTTAGAGGACTGGGTGAGCCTTCTTCCAGAACGACAGTACTTTCTTCTTTTAGACCTTTTTTTTTCTTTTAACATAAACAAGCCCAGAAGCCCTTTGATTTGCCAGCTTGGCCAGGAAACTCATCCAAGGTCTGGGCCAAGGCTGAAGCCTTGTCCAGGGCCTTGGAAATCCATCCAGCATTGTTTTTGCAGTGTTTTGAGGGGCACTTCTAATGTGCAGCTTCACAATTTCCACCCTGCTCTGCAAGAGTGGTGTGACCAGGCTTTGAAACACATGTCCAGGGCTGGGGGCTGAGGGCAGGGCTGGGGCTGCAGAGGATGTTGGGGCTCCTCCTCACCCCGTGGAACAGGGAATGGTGGCTGCCCAGGTCTGTGCCCCGAGGTTCCATATCCAGCCCTGGACAGGCATCCTGCCCCACACTGCCCTGCAGGCCCTGCCACAGTGCTGGCACTGGGTGGCTCTCAGAGCCAGCTGGTGGTGAGCTGCCAGAGCCAGGACCCTGCCCTGCAGCTGCAGCAGCTCTTGCATGTCACAGCTGAGACACAGCCTGGACACAGCTCGAACACAGCTCAGACACAGCCTGGATACAGCCCAGACACAGCCTGGACACAGCTCGGACACAGCTCAGACACAGCCCAGACACAGCCTGGATACAGCCTGGACACAGCTCAGACACAGCTCAGACACAGCCTGGACACAGCCTGGACACAGCCCGGACACAGCTCGGACACAGCCTGGACACAGCCTGGACACAGCTCGGACACATCTCGGATACAGCTCAGACACAGCTCAGACACAGCCTGGACACAGCTCAGACACAGCCTGGACACAGCTTGGACACAGCTCGGACACAGCCCAGACACAGCTTGGACACAGCCTGGACACAGCTCAGACACAGCTTGGACACAGCCTGGACACAGCTCAGACACAGCTTGGACACAGCCCAGACACAGCCTGGACACAGCCTGGACACAGCTCAGACACAGCCTGGACACAGCTCGGACACAGCTCGGACACAGCTGGGATATGGTTCAGACACATCCAGAGCCTGCCATGGCCTCGCCAGGGCTCGGGTGAGAGCCTGGGCTGGCAGACATGTCCAGCATCTCCCACCAGCCTGGAGTGAGGGGCTGGGCCAGAGGCCACGGGCAGGCTCAGGTCGGGCAACTCCCGGGGGCAGCACCGGGAGCCTCTGTGGGGCAGCATCTCAGGGAGCATCAGGATCACTCTGTACAGCCCCACACACACCCTCTGGTCCATCCAAGGGCCAAAGGACTCTGCTTCATTCAAACAACATCACCTTGCTTGGCCACACCCGGGAGGCTTCTGTGCACTGCCAGAAAAACTGCCCAGAAACCTTCAGCTGGGGCTCCTGGGGCAGGTCAGGGAAGCTGCCCCGGGCAGCCCTGCCAGCTCTCAGGGGTCAGCTGGGCTCTGCAGGCTCGGCCCCCCCAGTAACAACACAACAGCCCAAAGTTTGTCTCACTTTTATTTACATAATTGCACAGCCCGTTTCCCCATGACACTGGAACGTGGTGGGTCAGACATTGATTTCCCACATCCACAAGCTGAACATCTCCTCTAGGAAGGAGGAAAAGACTTAAAGAGTGGCTGTTGGGTTTTGCAGGGGCACATGCAACAACTCCAATTATTGGCAACGACAATAAAGTCAAGGAAGCTGAGTGCAGCCATGGCTGCCCTACAGCACAGGGCCGGGCCCCCACTGCCCCAGCCAGGGGCTTCTGGCTTTCACAGTTGCATATTAGGATCAACAGTGGGTCTCCTAACTGGAACACTGGCTCCATTAAGTCCTTACCCGGGGCGTGGTGTGGGAGTGCACATCCCTTGTCACCGGCCAGAACTCGGTGCACTGCAAGGCCAAGCTGCTGGGAGGGACCCAGGGATGGGAAGGTGAAACCACTCCCCCATTTTTCTCCACTGAGAATGTCCTGGTGACAAGGGGGTTGTTGGGAAGGGCCTGAAGAAAGGGGCACCCAGGACAAGGCACAGGGCAGTGGTGCAGTGCCCGCTGCCATGGAAGGGTGTGAGGAGCGGGGAGTGCCTGGGTGGGAACAGGATGGGACTGGAGCAGGGACTGGGACTGGAGCTGGGCTGCAGCAGCCCCTCCTCCAGGAGCACCAGGGCCAGAGTCATCCCTGCATGACTGGGAAAAGGGAGGGTGCCCATGGGTATGTGGCAGAAGGGAAGGGACAGGCTGAGAGAGGGGAGCAGAGATGTGCAGCCTTGCTGTGGCAGAGGACGTTCACCCCGTGGTCACACAAGCCCCTCATGCTTGGAACAGAGACCACTTCGGAGGAGCCCACAGGGACCTGCCACTGGGCACAGAGAGGCTGCTGAAAGATGTGCTGGGGTATCCCTGAGTTGCACGAGAACCCTGGCACAGAAGATGGAGGAGAAGAGCTGACAGAACCCAGGACCCAGGGCTGGAGTGATCCTCTTGGGAGAGACAGGACACTGGCCCCTGCTACTCATGCCACCAGAAACTTCCAGCCCAGGGTCATGGTACACATAAGGAAAAGCATCCTGCTTTGCAGGCAGAGAGGAGGAGGAGGAGGAAGGACGTGGAGTGCTTTGAATCCAAGAAACGACAGGTCTCAGTCTAGCAGGGCATTGGACCGATCCACCTGGGTTCAGCAAAGGGGCAGAGGGACACAGTGTGTCACACACATCACCACCCACACATGGGCACCTTGGAGCCTGCCTCCTCCCTGCTCTCTGCCCTCACCATGACGGGAGCAGAGCCCAGGTTCAGCCGAGCACCTCTGGAGCACCGGGCAGGGCAGTGGCACCGCTGGCATCCTCACAGCCTGTGCCACACGGGAGGCTCAGGGAAGCTCAGCACCAGGCACGGGCACCACATGGCAGGGTGGGAGGGTGGCAGAGAGGCAAAGACCAAAGCCAAACCAGCGAGACCCTTGGCAGACGGGGCACTCTGAGACAGAGGGTTTCGACAGCTGGATGTGCTGGAAATGCAGGTGGAAAAAAAGGAAAGAAGGAGGAGGAGGAACACCAGCCCCACAAGAGAAGGCACCCAAACCTGTTCTCTGGGAACCAGCGAACTGGGAGGGTTTCACTAGAGGACACAACAGGCAGGCAGCGCTGTCAGGGATGAACTCAATCCCAGCAGCTCCTCTGGAATGTGCAAATAAAGCGCAGAGACAGCCAAGAGCACCCGCGTCCTGCCAGCGCCGCAGGGCATGGCCTGTCCCCTAAGGTACGTGTGGAACTGATGCTACGGGAGGTCCAGCCTCAGGATGGTGAAAGGACATCAGCAAACAGAAACTACAACCTTCTGGGGTCAGGAAAGCTCCTTTCTCGATCGTTTAAAACCAAAAGGCAATGGTGGGTTTAGCTAATACAAGCCATGACTCTCCACCCTTGGATCCTCCATCTACCTTTGCCAGACATACCAAGAGCTGAGTGCATCCGAGTCCTGGGGGTGAGCCAGGACAGGCAAGGAAAGCATCGTGTGAGATCACATCTGCACTGGAAAAGATCTCTCTTTTTGAAACTTATATCTCAAAATTACAGTACTTTACAATACAAAATGTCTCCATTCAGCATCACGTCATTTTACTCCTTCTGGGATTATAATAATTATTAAAAACACTCAACTTTCTAGAAAGGACAGAACACCATGAAAGAGACCAAAGAGTAACGGGAAGGCTGCTGCAGTATTATCAAAACCAATTTAGTGCAAAGGAGAAGGGGCCTTTCAAGAACGGATGATGAAAAGTGTTCTTTATATGCTCATTTGGAGAAAAGGCATTGATTTAACCTCTGAATGAGATCAGGCTGCCGGCTTCTATCCTGAAGCTTAGAACATCTACACAAAAGGACTGAAACACAATATGCATGGCCATTAAAAAATAATATTATATATAGATATATATAGAGAGAGAGGGAGATATTTTCCACGTATGGTATTTAGTTATGGGAAAATGTCCCTGCAGAGAGGCATCTTCTGCCACCGGGCTCTTTTGGGCCATTTCACACACAGACGTTGATTATTTGTCTGTTTGTCAAAGTCTGAAGCAGGTGCTGACCGCAGAGTCCCCTTGTGTGGGATGATTGTTTCCTGGTGCCCCCAGAGCTGCCCTGGGCACGGGAGGACACCCAGCCCTCCTCGCCCTGGGCTGGCCCCAGTTGGTGGCCACGGGACGGCTCAGACGGTCGTCTCATCCGCGGTTTTCTTCATGAGCTTGGCGGAGAGGAGGGAGTGGGGCACGGGGTGAGGGCTCCTCGAGGCTGGGATCATCAGGCGGACTTTCTGGTTGGTCCTTCGCCACTCCGAGTACAGCTGGCAGTGGTAGCGGAACGAAACCTGGCGGGCGAGAACGCAGCGTCTGTCACCGACCCCCTGTCCCCGGGGTGGCGAGATGCCCTCACCCCTCTGCCTCCGTGTGTCCTTATCCCAAGGCAAGGGACACAGCCCTGACCCCGACACGGTTTGGGGCACTCCATGGCCCCAGCCTCTGATGGGGAATCAACCCCTTCCTGCTGAGAACAGGCTGAGCGTGGCACAGCCAGAGGGGCTCTCTGGGCAGCACTGGCACTGCAGGACGGGGTTTGCTCAGCTGGGTTTGGGTCCACGCTGGTGAAATGTGGCAGGGAGGAGCCAAAACTCACCCCCTCACCCAGCCCCAGGCTGCAGGGAGCACCCTGAGTGGCCAAAACAAGCGTCTGAATCCAACCAGCCTCCTCCCATCTCACAGAGCCCAGTGAACCTCCTTCACCCTTCCCAAAAACCTTCTCTCTTCTGTCTGCAACAACAGGACAGCAACTGGACTCATTTTTCCTGTCAGCGCCGTGGCCTGGGAGACTTGTCTCCCAGGAGGGAGAAAGGGCAGGATGCAAAGGCTGGAGGGACCCGGAGCAGCCCGGCAGAGGCAGGAGCTGGCCCTGCAGTTTCGGAACGGCCCTGCAGTTTTGGAACAGGCCTGCGAGGGGAGCTTCAAGCTCAGCTTAAACACCGAATCCAGTCAGCCACTCATCCAAATCAGGCTTTCATACTTGGTAAAATTACAGGAAGCATTTAGCTGGCAAGTAGGAAGTACCAGGAAGTACATCTGACACGGAAAAGTCAGTATTCCAATTAATTCTATTCAGGTCTGAGGTAACTGAGCTGCTTGATCTGTGCCCTCCCCTCGTTCCTGTTGCAGAGGTGCTGTGGCAGTGAGGTTGTTTGCTGCCAAACACATCTCCCAGTCTTCAGAGACAGCGAGGGAGTGGGGAGCTAATGGTGGAAACCTCAAGGAAGGCTCCTGCTCCACAGGAGGGAGCTGCAGCCTTGGCCACAGCCTCTCCCACAACCCTCCCACCCATTACAGCCATCACCTCCCACCACATTTTGGCCTCTTGTGCTGTACAGCCTGGGGTAGAACGTGGTAAATGTGAATAAAGGGGCTTCTCTTAAAGTCCTTCTCTGCTCAAGGAAATGTGAAGCACTGCAGAACTAGAGACATTTTAGTCAGGACTCGTTATTTTAAACACACAAAAAAACTCCACGAAAAAAATCCCAAACCAAACATTTTTCCATTTCCCCCACATTTCCAGCTTCTCCAGATCAGTTCTGGGAAGAGAAGACAGAAACACTTCCTCTTAAGGGTTCCAGTTTTACCTTGGCTTTCTACAAAAAGGAGCCTCATGCAGGAACTTGCAGCATGGAGACTTTCCTCCATGGCTTCAGCTTTGCCCCCAGAAACTCTCTCTGCAGGCCCCCCCAGAGCAGGGGCTGCTGCAGCACCAGCTCAGCCTGCCCTGGCTCCCCAGTCTGTGGAGGAGAGGAATGTCCTGCCAGAGGGGAAGGGGTTACTCTGAGAAACTGTAGCATGACATGGCAGGGAAATGTGTTGGGGCATTCCTACTGCCCACAGAACTGCCAGCTTTTTGGGGTCCCACTCTTCCTCCTGCAGCAACTGCACCCCTTCCCTTCCCCAAATGGTGCTTCCCAGCAAGCAGCTGGAAAAGGGCAGTGACAGGGCATGAGCACACACAGGGCTTGGAATAGGAGAGCCAAAACCAAGATCCAAACCCAGAAATCCAGCCAGCAACAGAATGCAAAAAAAGGGAATGGGAAACAGAGGGAATTCCCTGGCCTGGGAGCCTCTGGAGAGCAGCCCCGGGGCCCTGGGGAGGGGCTGGGCAGGAGCTGCCCCAGCCCTGCTGGGCTCTGCTGGCAGCACTGACAGGTACCACAGCAAACCCACATCCCCTGTCCTGCTCTCCTCAACTCCCTGCAAGCTGCAAGCTCCTGGCCCCCTAATTCAGCACGTCCAGGGATGCCAAGAGAGGTCTCTGCAGGAAGCTCTTTCCCAGCATGAACCAGTTCAACCCCCAGACAGGGTCGAGTGCAGGTTCCCAGGAATCCCCAGTGCCCCCCAGGCAGCAGCAGTGGGCCAGGGCAGGCTGGCTACCCAGCCTTGGCCTGGAGCTCAACTCCAAAACCCAGCATGAGAGAAGCCAGAGGTTTCCCCAGGGCCAGAGTGTTCCTTGCACACACCTTCTGTCTCACTGACACCTTAAAAGGGTTGTGTAGGAATTTGTTTAGCTGTGGGCCAGACACCCCCAAGGCCAGTCTGCACCCCCTCTGGGCATGGCCAGTGTGTGCTGGGCAGCACAGAGGGACATGATGGCAGATTATTTAGGGGCCAAACACATTCCAGATTTTACTTTTCCCCTGAACTACCCAGATATCAAGTTTGTGTTTCTTCTCGAAAATAGGAGCAGACACCACAGATGAGCCACTGCCTGCCCCAGCCCCACTCAGGCACATCTGTGCCAGGTATATGACACCCCGGGAACACGGCTCCCGTGCCAGTCTGCAAAGCAGGTGGTCAGGAAGTGGTTTCTCATCCTCAGCAACAGCTCGAGCAGCTCCCACGGGAAGACAATTCAACGGCCACTCAAGAGGAAGAGCCCAAGGTTTCCTCCCGTGGGGAGGCAGAGCTGGAGGGCTGTGAGCCAGCGCTGCCAGGTCCTGCTGGAGCAGGAGCAGGGCCCCGGCAGCCGGCACTTACCAGCGTCCAGAGGACGTAGATTGTGAAAAGTGCAATAGTGAGTGCTATGAGTCCGATGGCCTCCAGGCGGCTGTTGAACTGCAGGTGGTCCTGGGCCCCGCGCAGGCACAGCCAGCCCGAGATCGCCGCCAGCGGGGTGATGAACAGGAAACACACCATGTCACAGAACAGGGTCCTCTTCTCATTGCGGGGCCCGGGGTCCTTCAGCCACTGCGGGGAGGGCGGGAGAAGGGTCAGTCAGCACACGGCAGGAGAAGGGTCAGTCAGCACACGGCAGGAGAAGGGTGTCAGTCAGCACACGGCAGGAGAAGGGTGTCAGTCAGCACACAGCAGGAGAAGGGTGTCAGTCAGCACACAGCAGAAGGGTGTCAGTCAGCACACAGCAGGAGAAGGGTGTCAGTCAGTGCACAGCAGGAGAAGGGTGTCAGTCAGTGCACAGCAGGAGAAGGGTGTCAGTCAGTGCACAGCAGGAGAAGGGTGTCAGTCAGCACACGGCAGGAGAAGGGTGTCAGTCAGTGCACAGCAGGAGAAGGGTGTCAGTCAGTGCACAGCAGGAGAAGGGTGTCAGTCAGTGCACAGCAGGAGAAGGGTGTCAGTCAGCACACAGCAGGAGAAGGGTGTCAGTCAGTGCACAGCAGAAGGGTGTCAGTCAGCACACAGCAGCAGAAGGGTGTCAGTCAGTGCACAGCAGGAGAAGGGCATCAGTCAGCACACAGCAGGAGAAGGGTGTCAGTCAGCACACAGCAGGAGAAGGGTGTCAGTCAGTGCACAGCAGGAGAAGGGTGTCAGTCAGTGCACAGCAGAAGGGTGTCAGTCAGCACACAGCAGGCAAGAGGAACCGTGGTGCACTGGGCACCCAGTACAGGTGCTCAACTCACATAAACCTTCTCAAAAACAGAGCTAGAGAGTGACAAGCCTGTTTTTAACAACCAACAAGAGACAGGGAAGACACAACTGAATATCCTTCAGGAAGGATATTGAGGTGCTGGAGCAGGTCCAGAGAAGAGCAATGAGGCTGGTGAAGGGACTTGAGCTCAAGTCTTATGAGGAGAGGCTGAGAGAGGTTGTTTAGCCTGGAGAAGAGGAGGCTCAGGGGAGACCTCATCACTCTCTACAACTCCCTGAAAGGAGGTTGTAGCCAGGTGGGTGTTGGTCTCTTCTCCCAGGCAACCAGCAGTAGGACAAGAGGGCACGATCTTAAGCTCTGCCAGGGGACGATTAGGTTGGATATTAGGAAGAAATTTTTTAGAGAGAGAGTAATTAGGCATTGGAATGGGCTGCCCAGGGAAGTGGTGGATTCACCGTCCCTGGAGGTTTTTAAGATGAGACTGGATGTGGCCCTTAGTGCCATGGTCTAGTAACCATGGCAGTGTTGGATCAAGGGTTGGACTTGATGATCTCAGAGGTCCTTTCCAACCCAGCTGATTCTATGATTCTATGATTCTAACGTGTGCAGGGGAAGGCAGTAGTGGATAAGGAAGCTCCTGGGTTCTTCACTGGAGCAGGGAGGAGCAGGCAGGGGGAGGTGGGCTCAGTAAAGCCTAGCTTATGAGATTTGGCTGGTCTTGGGCTGTGCTTCAACAGAAAAAGGTCCATGACTCTGTAACTCATGTAGGGGCTATGGGAACCAGGGGCACTGGGGTCTGAGGCCAGGCCAAGCCATAAGGGCAGCTCTCCCAAATCTTTCTCTTGGGTTCCTTGGGAGAATTGTGGCATTTTAGAGTTTCGCTGCCAATCACCAAACATTCACTTCTTCTAGGAATCCCAATTTGCTTCTAGTGTGGGTTCATTGTAGATACTCGACTTCAACAACAGCAATTGTTCTATTTTTCTGGGATTACCTTATTTTCAGCCTTTCCTTTCCTTTTTTTAGAATAGCAAGCTGCTGTGGTTCCTACTGATACCAAATTGTTACAGCACAGCTTTACTGGGATCTGTGTGTGTTGGACTGCTGGATCCTTCCTTCTTCCCTGCACAAGGATGACTACCTCATTAGGGGTTTTCTTTGATTTTTTTTTTAATAAAAATGGGAGAACATTACTGAAAAGGCACAGTGAGAGCAGGGAAGGGACTATCAGTATAGATTGGAGTGGGGTCCTTGCTTTGGAACAGACAGCTTGGGAAGGGACCCATCGGAGAACTCTGCACACAAAGCTCCTTTCCTGCAGGGAAACCACCACTGAAGCAGCAACACAGAAGGGGTGGTGACAGGTATGCCAGGAATGAGGGAGACCTCAGCACAGGTAACCTGAGGACAGGGCTGGCCAGAGACACACAGAGAGCAGCCCAGAGGGGAGCAGGGGAGGGGGCACAGGGGAGTGCAGATTTAACTCCAGCAGGGATGTTCAGAGAGACAGAGCAGAGGGGGAAGGATGGGAGGAGAAGCACAATGGGGGAGATGGCAAACCCGGGCAAGGAGCAGGGAGGTGGCTGGGCTGGTCAGAGCCACGGTAGCAGCACGTTCTGCAGCACCTGGGACAGGACACTGAGCTGGACCTGAGCAGAGGAGAGGATGCTGCAGTGACAGGAATGAGCCTGGCCAGGAATGTCACCTGGGAGGACTGATAAGCATGATATTTGAGAGATGTCACCTGAAGCACCTGAATGCTCCTGTGGTAACAGACAATAAACTGGCATTGATTTTAAAGCCACTCTGAGCACAATGCCATGGTCAGATAGCCAGAAGGAAATGTCTTAGAATCACAGAATCATTAACCTTGGAAAAGACCTCCAGGATCATCAAGTCCAACCATCAACCCAGCACCACCATGTTCACCACTAACCCATGTCCCCAAGTGCCACATCCACATGTTTTCTGAGCACTTCCAGGGATGGTGATTCCACCACTGTCCTGGCAGCCTCTTCCAATGCCTGACAAGCCTTTCAGTGAAGACATTTTTCCTAATATCCAATTTAAACCTGCCCCCTCCCCCCAAGTCCAACTTGAGGCCTTTTCCTTTCATTCTGTCACTTGTTACCTGGGAGCAGAGCTCCACCCTCTTGTCAGGGAGTTCTGGAGAGTGAGAAGGTCCTCCCTGAGCCTCCTTTCCTCCAGGCTGAGCCCCCCCAGCTCCCTCAGCTGCTCCTGGTGCTCCAGACCCTTCCCCAGCTCCGTTCCCTTCTCTGGACACGCTTCAGCCCCTCAGTGTCTTTCTTATTGTGAGGGGGCAAAAACTGACCCCAGGATTTGAGGTGGGGCCTCAGCAGTGCCAGCAAAGGAGGACAGTCACTGGTCTGGTCCTGCTGGTCACACTACTGCTGGTACAAGCCAAGTGCCACTGACATTCTCAGGCACACCTGCCTCCTGTCTAGCCATTGTCAAAAGCAGCACTCTGGGTCCTTCTCCACCAGAGAGCCTTCAGAGCAGGCAGAACTGTGGTTTGGACAGGAGCTGGGAGAAGGGACACAGACCTGCAGGTCCCCCTCTCGTGGCTCTGCAGAGGAGATCAGTGTGACAAGCTGTGTGGGGATGATAAGGACACACAGCCTGAGCAGCCCCGAGCAGAGAGGGGGGACAGCAGCTCATGGCACGTCCTTGGCAGCCCCAGCAGCTGCACCTGGCCACGTGCCCAGCTCTCCCCAGTCTAACCAAGACAGAGCTGCCCAGTGACCCAGCACTGGGTGAACACCAAATCACCCTGACTGGACAAATGTCCCTCCAGCAGCAAGCCCAGAGCACCTCGTCCCCTGGAACAGGACATCCGGGGGCACTTTTGACCCTTGTACAGTAAGAAGCTCAGGGACTGAAGGCAGATAGGTATTTTACTGCATCTTAATTCTATTTATATTCCTCGTGACCCTTGAAACTCCTTCCTCCTCCCCAAGATGGGAGCCAAATATGTAAAGGCAGGAAGCAAATTAATTTCCTTTTGTAGTAGTTGATTTACTTTGCCAATATGCACTGACCCAATAAAAAAAAAAAAGAACACAATAAGCCACCCTAAGGGCACAAAGTTTCTGGCACAGGAGCACATTAGTGCACACAGGACTTCAAATAAAGCTTGCAAACAATCCATAAAGTGCTCAGGCAGATTAAACAATTTTTGTAGGGAAAACTATCAAGTAAACATGGGAAGGCAACAAAAGCACAACTTGGTCTTCTTCCAGCAGTTTCCATGCTGCAATCATGTCTGAGACTGAAGGGAAAGAGGCAGAGCTGGCTGCTTGCTGCCCACCTAGGCTATGAGCTGGGTTCTATTCTCTCTACTTGTGTGACTAGAAGTTATTCTGGGTACAACTGTATTTCTTTGTCCTCTAGCATGATCCTGAGGCTTTCCCAGATGGTGGGATCAGCAGGGTTGTGTAAGGGAGCTCATTTCTGGGAGCCACAGCAGGGCTATGTGATGATGAGGAGCTGACCTGTGGGTGCTGCAGTGCCCATGAACCTTGGGTGAGCCCAGGGATGGGAGGCAGAAAAAGGCACCAGGACATAATCAGTTCCTCTGGGAGACAAGAGCAGAGCTCAAAGCATATCAGAGCAGTCTCCCAGCCAGTCCATCTCAGCACCTGCATGTCTTGGGGCAGGGTTGCCTTCTGCCCCTTGGGACCTGTGGGAATGGATGGAGGAGGGACTCTCCCAGCAGCACTCAGCACCCTGCAGTCTTTCTGGGGGGTTATAAAAGGGTGTTTTAAAAATTAGCTTCCATTGATTTTTACAGCTGACTTACCTCCTGAGGCTAAATGTCCATGGCCATGAGCTGTCAGCCCCTGCCTCATGACCACACTGCCTGCAGCACTCCTGTGCCCCGTGGGACCACAGGGACCAGGAGTCTCACCCAGCACGTGCTCAGGTCTCTCCCAGCCTTGCTCTGGTGAGCACCAGTCAGGACCAGCATGACCTGCCAACCTCACCAGCTGACCCTGCCACAGAGTCCCCCAGTGCTTCACAGCGAAGGTATGATGCAAGCCACAGCAAGACACAAGAATTTGGAAGCATTACAAAACATCCCACGTCCTTTCTGCCCACCAAAGTTACCCTGTGGCTGCTCAGGTGCCTGTTGGTTTTCCTTCTGCTGCTGAGCTGGTGCCTGGCTATACAGGGCAGAAAAAAACAAATGACCTTGACTCACAGTAGCACTATTAGCCCTGTCCTTGCCCTGAGAAACCTGCTGAGCCAAAAAATACAGCTTCAGATGAGAGACTGTCACATCCCTGCTCTAGGCCTGCACCAAACCTCCTTGCAGGCCACCAAGCTCCACAGGCAGTCCCAG